GGTTCACGTCCTTGACAGGGATGTGGATGAAGCTGGAAACCATCATTCTTAGCAAACTAACACAGGAACAGAAAACCAAACACTGCATGTTCTTACTCATAAGTGGCAGTTGAACAATGAAAACGCATGGACACAGGGAGGGGAACATCATACACTGGGGTCTATTGGGAGTTGGGGAGCTAGGAGAGGGATAACATTAGCATAAATACCTAATGTAGATAATGGGTTGATGGGTGCAGCAAACCACCATGGCATGTGTATACCTATGTAACAAACCTGCACGTTCTACCATGTACCCCAGAACTTAAAGTATAATAATAAAAAAAAAGTAATGTCTTTATAAATTATCGGGATTTGAGTGACACACAACGTTGAAAGTGTTGGTTCTTTTTAAGTCTAGAGGAGAAGGAGCGTGAACACTTACAGGACAGTTGACCTGAAATGAAGTATTTGACACCATTCTTTCAACTCCTAAGTGGCTAAATAGCATCAGGGTTAGGAGTTGGACTTTTTCTTGAGATTAAGATAAAAGTAGGCTGTAGCATTTTTACTTTGCATAGGATTTCTTCATCTAATCAGTAGCCCTTTGCAGATATCCACAATGTGTCAGGACCTGGTAAGCCTTCACGCCTAGGAAGGCTAAAGATTGAGTTTATCTGTTTCATCCTGTCTTGGCTGATCACATGCACATACAACCACACACTCACTTGCATACACACACATGAGTATGAGGAGAATTCAAAATGTTCATGGAAAAATGAAATTAAATGATAAAAGTTTTAAAATATAAACTTTATTTCTCAGCATAAGCTCCATCAAGTTCAAGACACTGTTATGAGCTATTATAGCAGACATTTAGTCCATCCCTAAAGAACTGAGGGTTCTGGGAATTTAATCATGTCAATGCAGTCTTTCTTACATTGTTAACTAAAGAAAAACGGGTGCCCTTTAAAGATTTTTAAAGATTAGGTAACAGAAAAAAAAAGAAAGAGTCAAATTCTGACTGTAAGGTGAATGCCTAGTAGTTTCCCCATAGAAATTCTCAAAAAATTGCCTTTGTTTGATGAGAGGAATGAGTAGGAACATTGTCATGGTGGAGGAAGACTCTCTGGTGAAGCTTTTTGATACACTTTTCTTCAAAAGCTTGGGCTAACTTTCTGAAAACACTCTCATAATTAGCAGATGTTATCATTCTTTGACCTTCCAGAAAGTCAAGAAACAAAATGCCTTGAGCATCTCAAACCACTGCTGCCATGACCTTGGCTCTGACTGGCCTGCTTGCTTTGACTGGACCCCTTCCACCTCTCGGTAGCTATTCCTTTGATTGTGCTTTGTCTTCAGGATCACACTTGTAAGGCCATGTTTTAATTCCTGTTACAATTCTCAAAGAAATACTTCACGATCTTGATCCCACTTGTTTAATATTTCCATTGAAAGCTCAGCTCTTGGCTGCAGCTGAACTGGGTGCAATGATTTTGGCACCCATTGAGTGGAAAGTTTGCTCAACTTTCATTTTTCAGTCAGATTTGTGTAAGCTAAAGCAATTGAGATCTCTATGATGTTGGCCATTGTTTCTGCTGTTAATCATTGGTCCTCTTCATTTAAGTCACAAGTAAGATTAATTTTTTTTCTCCCAAATTGATGTGGATGGCATATCACTTGCAGCCTTCATCTTCAACACCATCTCATCCCTTCTTCAAACAAGTTATCTGTTTGTAAGCTGCTTATTTTGGGGGGGGTATTGTCCTAATAAACTTTTCATAAGGCATCAATGATTTTGCCATTCTTCCACCTAAGCTCCACCAAAAAATTTGATGGGCGTTCTTGCTTTAATTTTAGCAGAATTCATGTTGCTCTGAGAGAGGATCTTTTCAATCTTATCCTTATTAGTGCCTCAAACTAGATCTGGTTCAGACATAGCAAGTTAGTGTGAGTTTATTTTGGTGCAAAAGATTGAAATCTGTGTATAGCTTTTTCATAACACATATTTTTTAAGAACTTTTTGAAGACCCCTCATGTAGACACACCCACACAATGCATGTATGTATTGTCAATGAAGTTACATTGGCTGTGGGATATGAAACTCAAGGGATTTTACTGAAAAATCTCAGCCTCAATTTGTTCCTCTTACATTTGCATATTCTATCTGCCAGGTGGCAAGGCAGAATTGACTGTAATAAGAAAGAAACTAACATTTAGCTCCAATTGTTGTCCATGCTTCAGAGCTGATTTTTAACCTGAGAGTGACAGCAGCCACCTGGGCCAGGGGCAGACAGGTAGTTTGCCTCTCCTAGAACTGGAGGCTCCTCTACCAGCCTTATCTTCAAGAACCTAATTGGAATGCTTTGTTTTCCTTTTGTGTGCTGGTCTAAGAGAGGCCCCGGAAGGTCTGTCATGCAGATTGACAGTTTCCCTTTTAAGGCTGGCCAACTGAGGCCAAAGTTGAAAATGTTAGTAAAAACAAATAGTATTGCAAAAGGGTCTTGTGCATTTCCTTCTCTATGCTCGTATTGCCCCATCAGCCAAGTGTTACATGAGTGACTTAAGAGAACACCATTAGGCTTGAAAGACAGTGAACTGCAAAAACACACTTTCTCCATTTCACCTAGTTGCTATTTTTCCCCCGGGTGCTAATGATGCAAACAAAAGAAAGGAAAAATAATAGACATTGGTTTATGTCTTTTCAAGTTCCATTTCTTGTTTCTTCTTTTGCTATTTTCAGAATCAAGGAAGATAATACAGACTTTTAACAGTTTTCTTATCTCATTTTGCATTTGTTAGATACTGTTTCCTAGTGGTTGGGACCTGCTTCCTGCTCAGGAAGGAGAAGGCAATGGTTGCCCTCACAATTCAGTAATAGTGATTCTACATTTGTCGTTATTTAACAATTGTTGAAGTGCTCCACTCTCCTTTCTTCAGTTGTGCTAATGATAGAAAAGGAAACTTGGGTACATAGGAAAGAGGTTCAAAGCATGAGTTTGGATGTTAAACAGGTCTGAGATTTCTGGCTCTGCCACTTAAGAGCTGGGTGACTTTGGGGAGTCATTTAATTTTTCTGGGCTTCACCCATAAATAATACACACATACATGAAACTCACCTCTCAGGGTTCTGGTGAAGACTATGTAACACAGAATCTCAAAGGTACTGGGTACCCAGGGATGCTGTAGTAATAGGGTCTCCTCTCCTATCGCTGTCAGCTCAGAAACACAGAAAAGAGCAGCTGGGATTCAGGAAGGAGACTATAGGCTCTAGATAGAAGTATTCACTCACTTCCTTGGGCAACTCACTTCCCTGAGCCTCAATTTTCTTTTTGATAAATAAGTAGAACCTTTCTACCCACCTTTAGACCTGTGTGAGGAAGAGATGGAGCTGGGCTAATGCCAGTTCTGTCTGATTCCAGACCTGGTTCTTAACTAGCAACAAAGAGTGATGCCTGGCCAGGTACCTGGGTCATTGTCCCAAGACAATTTTAACATGTCTCCTTAGAGAAGGACTGTCACTGAGGCCCAAGGAAGTGTTCAGGAGGAATCAAGCTTCACCAGGATAGTTTCAATGACTTAACTCTTCTGTGTGGAGTTTCCTCAAGTATAAACCGGGGATCATATAGTCCTAGGAGTTTTCAATCAGGCCTTTGAAGTCTTTTGAGATTGTTACACAGGATCAAGTAGAACAGGATTATTTCTACCTCTTTACTGAAATTTGAGATTGATGTCTACGAAATTCACTAAAGTACTTGTCTTGAATAATTTTCTACCCAGTTGATAGCAGTTAGGCTTCATTTTCAATGCCATTAACTCTGAGAGCAAACGACAGGCTTTGGGTCTGCCAATATGTTAAAAGTGTGTTTTTGATGAAATTCCAATGAGTCATTTGTTTGTATAATAAATGCTTGTTGAGCATCTACTCTCTACCGAGCACTGTTGTAGGGGTTAGGGATAACAGCCACAAGCAGGTAAACGGCCCTTGCTTTCTCAGAGCTTTCATTCCAGGAAGGAGAGAAAGATAGTAACCACACACACCAATAGATGAACACGTTGTTGTGGAGACACAAAATCCAAATGAGGTGAGGGAGAGACTGGGGATAAGCTAAGGGTGTTTAGGAGAGCATTCTAAAGTGAGGTGAAGTGGGGTTAAAATTCTGAATGACCAAAAAAATGAACCACCTATGTGACCATTTGAGGATGGAACATTCCAGGCAGAGAAGAAGGCAGATACAAATGTTCCAGAATGGGAAGGCGCTCAAAGGTTCTGAGAGAATTGAAGGAAAGTTTTGTGCTTAGAGCAGAGCAAGCTACTTTGAGGTTAGAGAGGAAGCCAGGAGCCAGATTATGTTGGTTTTAGCCATGATAAGAACATTTATACCGAGTGCAAACATAAACTCTTAGACGTTGTAAGCCAGGAAGAGATACCACTTGATTGTGGAAAAATGCTCATAACATGAGATTAAGTGGAAAAAGGACCCTCAAATCTAGAAGTGTCTAGTCAGTACTATTTCAATTATGCAAGCACATGTGTGAGTATATATACGTGTGTGTCTGTGTGTGTGTACATACATACTTTATGTATATATGCATAAAGTACATGTGTGTGTGTGTGCACATGTGAATGTGTGCATTCAGTAAATAAACTAGAAGAAGATACAGAAAAGTGTTTGCTATAGTTGTTGTAGTGGTGGACTTATTTTCCTTCATTGCTTTCTTGTGTTTTGTAAGTTTACCATAAGTTTGTGTGACATCAATAATCAAAATTAAATCATTTACTTTTTAAAAACTTTGTTGCAGAGCAAGCAATGGAGAGAACATAAGTGTGACACTATTTTACCATGTCTTATCTCAGGTTTGAGCTTAATGCTATGGTGCTTTGGGATGCTGGAGTGAATTTCAAAGATTCTGGCTACTAGAGAAGTTTGGCTTTTTAAGGAGTCTGTCCTAAAGCAAACTTCTAACTGTCTCCAAGTTATTTATGCAAAAGAACCTGACATTTCTGTTTCTTCCCACAGATTTGAATATAACCTGCCGCTTCGAAGGTGTATACCACGTGGAGAAAAATGGTCGCTACAGCATCTCTCGGACGGAGGCAGCTGACCTCTGCAAGGCTTTCAATAGCACCTTGCCCACAATGGCCCAGATGGAGAAAGCTCTGAGCAGCGGGTTTGAGACCTGCAGGTAAGAGATCAGCACCCAACCACTGGGGAAAGCTGGTGGCCTGGGCCCAGGGAGCTGGGCTTAGAATTAGAAGGCTCCTCTCCTTCAGCTGAGTGGATTATGGCCTAGAGAGTCAACCCCACCTATTAATTTGGCCAAGTCAATCTGGAACCTGTATGACAACTGGAGTTTAAAGTCAGCTAAAGACACCTGTGTGAATCATAGAGTGGGAGGCCAGAGGAAGCCATTAGGGGTCCTCTCGGCTGAAACCCTCTTGTCTAACCTGCTTCCACAGAGCTCTCCTGGCTTTGAAGAAGCTGCAGTATCATTGTCAGAACCACAAAACATAAACCAAATAACAGTGTTTAAAATAAATATGTGGCTGAGAGCCTTGGGCCTGCAGACTTGGCTCAAAGCAGACTTTTCAAGCAATTCTCTCTTGCTCTCACTGAAAAAATATTTTTTTTTGTTTTTTTTCTTCTATGTTTCTCTGGTTTGAGAAAGTAAATAAAAAGGCATGAAAGTTATTATGCTATATTATATTAAGATTTATTATTACTGGGAGCCTGAGAAGGCTCCCACCGGTATCTTAGTGCTCCATAGAGTCTTCCTCAAACTATGGCTCCAAGATAATCACAAGTAAGGACTTTATTTGTTGAATTTCCAATGGCCTTGTGGTAAGCAGTACACAAGGGGAGCAAGCCATCGTGGTGGTCGCGGTGAATTGTTTTGGTTTGGTTTGTTTTCACTAGAAGAGGTCTGAGCAATCTCTACAACTGCTCTGAAGTTTCTACCCCAGCCTGCAGCTGTGCTTTTGCAACGTCTTTAGGTGGTACAATTTTCCTTTCTCTGTAACACACACTCACATGCACACAGACTGCTTTTGAAAAGCCAAGTGGTAGAACTGTTTACGGAAACCATTAAGTTTAAGTTAAGTGCTTCTATCCCCCTACATTGGTTACAGAGTCATGCACTCACATTACAAGCAATGGCTGAGACTTTTGCTGAAAGAGAAAAGGAAAATCTTTTGTCTTACATTTAAATTAATTAAAATACTAAAATTAAAGCTTGAGTTCTTCACTAGCACTAAATACATTTTTTTTTTTTTTTTTTTTTTTGAGACAGAGTCTTGCTCTGCGGCCCAGGCTGGAGTGCAGTGGCGTGATCTCATCTCACTGCAACCTCTGCCTTTTGCCTCAGCCTTCTTTTGCCTCAGCCTCCTGAGTAATTGGGATGACAGACGCCTGCCACTGAGCCCACCACCATGCCTGGCTAATATTTGTATTTTTAGTAGAGACAGGGTTTTACCATATTAGCCAGGCTGGTCTCGAACTTCTGACCTCGTGATCCGCCTGCCTCAGCCTTCCAAAGTGCTGGTATTACAGGTGTGAGCCACTGCACCTGGCCACTAACTACATTTTAAGTGCCCAGCCATCAACAGCCAGTGGCTACTGTATTGGATGATGCAGGTTATAAAACATTTCCATCATTGTAGAAAGTTCTGTTGAGCAGCACTGCTCTAAAATAAAGAGCAGATGTATATAGACATCTGTATGTGTTCAGAGCTAGGTCTGGGAGAATATGAAAGGAGCAGAGAAAGGGAGAAAGCTCTGGTGGCTACTGAACCTGTACTGTAGGCTGCAGTGAAGACAGGCCAATTAGCAAATCCGTTATTCTATTCCCAAGGCTAATTATTTAAATATGGCCCTGACTAGGCTACTGGTCTAAGAAAATGAATTTAGTAAACCGAACTTTGATTGTGAAATACAAACAAGGCATATTTGAAAAATACAGAAATGCTCCCATATGCTGAGGACCAGGGGAGTTCTTACAACTGCCACTGTCCGATCATCAAGCACTGAGATGCTGGAGACCTACTGCCCACCTGGCCAAACCCCTCACTTAATCCTCAAACTACACTATTGGTCAATATTATCAGCTCATTTTATGAATGAAGCAACTGAGGCTTAGAGAAATTCCACACCCTGGGACACACAGCCTGCCCATGGAGGATTTGGGATTCTGGATCTTCTTAGCCTGAGCCCAGGACAGGATTTTAATGACTAAGGCCTCCTTGGGAACTTAAAAGGAGAGAAAGGATGCTGCCTGGATTTGCTGAATATTCCTTGTTCCCCGTGATCAGTAACTTACTCATGCCACATACACACATATAAACTTTAATATCCCCAGTTCACAGTTAGCATGACACAGAAAACTGCCAGGCAACATGAAGAGGCAAAAACTCAGTAATAGCTTACAAAGAGTACAATCTATTCTAGAATGTCGGGGCTATCCATACTTGACAATAAGATGTGATGGGGTGAGTTGGCAGGTAGGTTCACCAAGGAGTATTAGTTAGAAAAACTGTGCCAAAGAAATCTATCATGTCACCAGTAACTGGTATTAAGTATTGCAAAACGCATTTCCATAATTTCACTCAGGTAGCTATGAATCAGCTTTCTGCCATAGGACAGATGGCAGAGTCTCATGGGCTAGGATAAAACCTTAACAGCTACTCTCTTTTGTCTGCCCCACCCTGATTGGTAGCAACTCTCAGATAACATGAAAACTTATTACCACTTAATTGTGCCTGCTCCCCCTGCCAAGCTAAGGAGACCTTGGGGAAACCAGTCTGTCTGTTCAGATGAGAAATTAGTCATGTGAGCTACAATTGCCACATAGATATGAGTTTTGTGTGCCTGGAAACTTCAAACTCACAGACATTTCCATGGGTCTTCCATGCTGTTCCCCTGGCAGGAAAGATGAAAAGCATTGATGCTGTGCATTTTAGCAAGAATTATATTTTCAAACACCTGCTGGATTTAGCTTCCTCCTCTCTGTTCTCCTGCTGTATCACAGCTTCCCTTGCACACAACATTTTCTCAGCCCACATCTCATTTTTTGAGGCATTTTATATTTTTTTTAAAAATGTGTAATAAGCGAGTTTTTAGCCACCAGGATACTGCTAGAAGAGGCTGGGCTCTGGTATCTGAAAGGGCCTCCAGCTGTAACAAGCTCTCAGACAAACCTTGGTAGGGAGAGAGGGGTTAAACATTTCTTTGGATGTGCTGCTTCTGGAAAGTTCCTGAGCTACATGAGCCGTTGCTATCTGCTTACTTAATTGCTATGACTCCCATTGTAATGATGGCTAATTTATCCCCACTGGCAATAGAATTATACCTGGGATGCTCAGGAGACAGTGTGCTGTGTACTTTGCATATGAACAAGGCTTCATGTTTAGGATAATGGAGTATGGAATAAGGGGGCTTGCAGACTTGTGTCTGAGAAATAAGCAGGGAAATGGGACATGAGGCAGGCCTGAAATGTGTGTACTGAAATGAAGAAGTACCTCTTCCTCTTTATGGAACTGACCATTTTGTGTATTTTCTGGGAAACATGAAGGTAACCCAAAGCCAGCATGAATTGCACATCAAAATTTTTCTCTTCTGTGACTCAGGCTTCCTTCTGCTTGTTCAAATTGGCTCACCACTGCTGACCACAAATTTCGATTGAACTAATTATCCCTTTTATGATTTTTTTAAATAAAAAAGCTCTTTACAGGTCTCTAAATAAAATCACTTTGTTTCTATCAGTCTTGTTGATCTCTTTCCCTCTCTGTGCTGTTATTTTTGGATTTCACATAATTCGGTTGTTGAAACCTCTGATATCCCTAAGGGTGAATTGAGTGAAGAATTGCACGGCATTAAATGTCATTCATTGGGATATTATGAAATTCCCATCTTAGCCTTTCAGGTCAATATCCTCTTGTTTTTCTCTTGCAGGTATGGGTTCATAGAAGGGCACGTGGTGATTCCCCGGATCCACCCCAACTCCATCTGTGCAGCAAACAACACAGGGGTGTACATTCTCACGTCTAACACCTCCCAGTATGACACATATTGCTTCAATGCTTCAGGTTGGTTCTCAGGCGGGGTGTCTGTTGGCATGAAAGCCTTTGGGAGCCTGGTCTTTGGATCTCAGCTTAAGTGGGGATTCATGTAGCCTCTACTTACATAACAAATGCTCACTCAATATCTGTATAGCAGAGACAACATTCCTGTCTCCATGGAGCTTAAACGCTGAATTGGGGAGGCAAACAATAAACAAATAAATATTAAATACAGGCTTGGCACGGTGGCTCACACCTGTAATCCCACCACTTTGGGAGGCTGAGGTGAGCGGATCACCTGAGGTCGGGAGTTCGAGACCAGCCTGACCAACATGGAGAAACCCCGTCTCTCTTAAAAATACAAAAAAATTAGCTAGGTGTGGTGGGACATGCCTGTAATCCCAACCACTCGGGAGGCTGAAGCAGGAGAATCGCTTGAACCCGGGGAGGCAGAGGTTGTGGTGAGCCGAGATCAGGCCATTGCACTCCAGCCTGGGCAACAAGAGTGAAACTCCGTCTCAAAAATAAATAAACAGAGCCAAATAAACAAATAAATATTAAATACCCTTCAGGGGTGTGCAATCTTTTGGATTCCCTGGGCTGCACTGGGAGAAGAAGAATTGTCTTGGGCCCCACATAAATTACACAAAGACTAACAGTAGCTGATAAGCTATAAAACAAACAAAAAATATCGCTCAAAAAAATCTCATAATGTTTTAAGGAAGTTTATGGATTTGTGTTGGACCACGTTCAAAGTCATCTTGGACCACATGTGGCCTGCAAGTTGCAGGTCGGACAAGCCTGAAGTCAGAAAGTGATACAAGTACTATAAAAAAGAAAGCAGAATACGCGGCCAACTAGTACTAGGGATACTTTTATTTTCTGAGAAGGTGGTCAGGGAAAGTGCCTCCCAGCCTGTTCTGAGAATATCAGTGCTCATAGGGGAGAATGCCAAGGAATAAAGTCAGAGAGCTAAGCAAGGGCCCGCTCACCGGGGGTGATTCATTCTCAGTGTGATAGGAAGCCATTATAGGTTTTGAATAAGGGAGTGACATGAATCTAATGATAGCTTTGGGGTGTGAGTCAAATGTCTTAGCTGAGAGGTATTTATTATATGAGAGGACTGGAAAAAAGTCTTGGAGAGTATATGGTATGCCTTTGAGCTTCTTAAATATCCCTTACCCAACAGCTGAGAGAACCAGAGAAGAAGAAACCTAAGTTAAGGTGTAGATGCTGGGTCCCAGGCCAGCCTTTCTCCATGTCTTTGGGACATTCTCCCAACCATTAACCTAGAAAATCCTGCTTATGAGCCTAATTCAAGTCCTAGCAAAATTATAGAATTCTATGCATCAAATTTTCAGATTTTTTTGAGAAGGATCAAAATTATAAACGTCAAATTTCTGGATGCCAGCTATCAAAAGTCTTAACTCTTAAACTGGGCCTTCTGTTCCCATGGAAGGTTTGAAGTTGTGTGAAGGAAAAGATGAAGCCTTGAGGTAAACTTGATACATCTTGCCGGAGTGTCAGTTGTCCTTAAAGGTGGGAAGGGGATGTTAAATTAGGTGGAAAGGGGCTTAAAACATTAGCAGCCTGAGATAAACACAGATATATATATAAAAAAATATATATATTTTGTATATATTATATATATACACAGAGAGAGAGTACAATTTAAAATATGCATGGATTTCTAAGCTAAAAAAAGGACATCAAATTAATTATGAGATATTTTGCCTACTAATAAAAAAAACAAAAATTAAAATTAATTGCTAGATTGCATCAGTGGCTTTCGTCTATACCACCCACCCTTTGTTGTATGAACAGTAGGGATCAGAGTGGAAATTCAGAGAAGAAATCTGCAGTTTAGGACAAAGTATCAGGGCTGGCAGTTGAAATGGAGTGCATGAAGCCAGTAGATTTTGACAAAAATTTTCAGGTCACTAAACCTATGGAGAGGAACAGAAAACTGTAGAATGTTTACTCCTCCCTGTTATGTGGGTGAAGAACACAAATGGAGTTTGACCAAAGGGAAGGTAGTCCAATTAACACTAAATAGTACATGACTCATGCATACTCATTTCCCATACCCATGTCTAGCATGTCATTCTAATGATATTATAATGAGAAAACCACATATAAACAAGCAAGAAATAGACACAGAGCAACATGTGGTCTAGCTAGCTCCATCTCAGTGTAACAGGTCAGAGGGAGACATTGGGAAAAGCTTGTACTTTAGATGAAGAGGTTGGCTCAGTGGGAAAGGGCAGGCTGTACACTCCTGAGTCTCTGGGCACTGTTTATTGCGTCTCCCATTAAGCCTTGCTGAGTGAATGCATGCAGTAAGTTATGTAGTTGCATACCCACCTTGTCTTACCTGTTTTACAGTTTGGTCTCACTTGCCAGAAGGAACCTCAACCCAAACAGCAGAAGCTCACACTGTTTTATTGCCTGGCGTCAGAGCCATCTAGGCAGCCTGCTACTGAGACTTATTTCTATCCTTAATTTTGTTCATGAGGTTGTGCCCATCCCTGGAGTTGGGAGTAACAGCATTGATTAGTTTTTTTCTCCTTGGAGAGTTAGTTCAGTTGAAAGGTTTGAGAGGTACAGCGGGGGGTATATTGCTTACTAACATGGATGAATTAAATAGTAAAGCTAGAAGTAATGTTTTTCCTTTTCTCTGTTTTCCAAATTGACTCAATGTTGATGGCTACTTTTGTAAGTTTTTATTTAAGTTTAAAGGGAATAATTATTGATCACCTTTATGTGCTCAGTACTGCACTAGGCACAGATGGGGTGAAAAAACTGGAGGCTACATTTCTTAAAGAAGTTAACAATCTTGTTGAAGCAAGGAGACAAAAAAATAAAGAAACTGGAGAAGAGGAAAGATGTGTTTAAGGAAAAATAAATTCTAAACGTCTTGGATTAGAGTCAGATGATATGGGTATTAAGTGAGCTAAAGATTTTGATAAACTGCCCTATGCTAAGGATTTCATTGCAAGGATCCTTGTTTCTAATTTAGACTGAGGGCTGCTAGCAGGTGGTCCTGTCCCAGTGCTGTGATCCCCCCCATAAAACGGCTCTAGGGACAAAAGTCAGCTTGATCTTAGTAGATAGCTCCCACAAGCTTAAAGTTTTAGCAATATTTTTAGAAACATGGCCTCTGGCTAACAAATGAAAATAAGGCAGAACTTGAAAAGGCCTTTGTGATTTTTTTTTTTTTCCTCATTCTCAGTGGTTAAGGCCCAATATGAGCCTGGAGACTTCTGTGTGAACACAGAACTGACTTGAATTCATTCATTTATTAAGCTTACTTTCAGTTAAGTGCCTCATTTTCTTTTGAACGTAGAATTACAGGGAAGATCAACATGTATTTATTTATCCATTTCCTCCTTTATTCAACAACTATTTGAGAACATTTATGAGATACCTAGAATGTATCAAGAATTGAGGAGGGTGGCTTTCTATCTGACACCCAGAGATTAGTGGCTAGACTGAATAATTAATGTTTCTCTTGGTTATTTTCGTGTGTTGAAACCAAGGTTTATGAGAATGCCCACCTCAGAGAATTTCTAACAAGTCCTCAGATTCAAGAACACCTCACCAGGTCTAGCTTTCCAAGTAGTACAGAGCTCATTAAATGGAAAGAAAGGCTATCTAATGAGGCCCTGGAATCTAACATGAGAGCATGAATGTGTTAATTGCACATTTGTATCACCATCCACTAAACATATTTGCCAGATTTGATGTTCTTTATAAAAGTTAAAGTGAATTGGAGCATGAAGGGTGTCCATGTGAACAAATGCTCTAATAATTTACAAAACTGTCTTAGGATTTTTGACATCATGCCCCATTCTATTACAACTTGCTGCCTGGAAATTCCCAATGTACTCTTACTTGCAGTTGTGTATGAAGTTGGGGGAGATTGTTCCATCTCTGACATCAAGAAGCCATACTCTAAAGCCTGTTTCCAGGTATGCACAACATACAAACATCAGAAGCATCTCATAGGTTGATATTTCCAAGAGAAACAAGATAGATACTCCCCCAAATCTCCCAGGCTGGCAGTATGCCCTTATTTTCAAGTGCAATAATTTTGGAAAACATTTTTGAAAACTGTAAAAAGCTAAATTAATATTAATTATTACTGCTCCCCATGACCTTGTGAATTCCTCAGAAGCAGGGACAGAAACATATTCATCTTCTTTTCTCTTTCTATATGGTCTGGCATATAAGAGTTGAGTAGATGCTTAAAAATAACAAATGAAGAGTATATCTATAACTTCCTTTAATTATTTCTTATGGCATTACCATTTAGGGTTTATCCAAATGCTTCACCTGCACATATTTACAGGCCATTTTGGGGGTTAACATCTTAGGTGTGCTTACTGGAAGAATAGGCCCTTGGGAAATCATATTGGCACTTTTTTTCTTTTTTCATCCATTTAACACATATTTATTGCATGTTTCTCTATCCCCATTACACAGAAATGCTCTGGCCAAGACAGATAAAGTTATTATCTGTGGAGCTTGTATATTTCTAGGGAGGGAGGCAGATAGCAGGAGGTGGGGATTGAGAGCTGTGCCATGAGCAGCCATCAAGTAAGATGAACAAGATAAGGTTATACAGTGGTAAACATGAAGAAGAAATGAGAGCAAGATGCTATGTGATGGTGACAGGTGTGGGGGAGTAATGAAGGAGTTTAGATTGAATGGTAAGGAAGGGCCTCTCCAAGGAGGTGATATTTCTCTTTAAAGAAATCTGAGAAATCTTTTAGAACAGGCTTTGCAAGAATGGCTTTTCCTAAAACGTTTTGTGTTTTCCAGTTGAATGTATAAAACTGCCAGTTAGTTTCACTATGAGGCCAAATAAATGGGCAGGTAAAGGTTATCCTCTTTATCTGTGGGAACAGATGCTCCCAGGTACTAGGAAGCAAGCAAAACCTGTTTTGTTCAAGCTGTGTTTTTATCCACTTTTATAAGCACACAAAAATTATAGCAGGACTTTGGGAGGCTGAGGCGGGCAGATCATGAGGTCAAGAGATCGAGACCATCCTGGCCAACATGGTGAAACCCCGTCTCTACTAAAAAATACAAAAATTAGCTGGGCATGGGGGTGCGAGCCTGTAGTCCCAGCTACTTGGGATGCTAAGGCAGAAGAATTGCTTGAACCCAGGAGGCGGAGGTTGCAGTGAGCCAAGATTGCGCCACTGCACTCCAGCCTGGCACCTGGCAACAGAGCGAAACTCTGTCTCAAAAAATATATATACCTATATTATAGCAGGAGACTTAAAATACTTGTGATAGTAGTCTGTCTGACTGCCTGCTTCTCTTCCTTTCTCCCTCTCTCTATCCAGCTATCCACCCGTCCATCCATCTCTTTCTTCTTCTTTGACAGAAGCAATTCTGGGAGAAACTAACCTAGCAAATAAATTTCCATTTTACATTTAAGTACGCACACACACACAGTATAAAAGCTGTAAGGCACAAATGGACTTAATCTTTCTATAGCAGCAAAACCAGTTTAAAGCTTTCTGAGATTTTAGAGCTCAGTACAAGGTCTAGTCTCAGAATAAAGCACTTCGGCATGAATGGGAGCTTGCTTCAGCTACTTTGCAGTCTGCTTTTAAGACACGAGGAATGGAATGCAGGGTGGAAGTTTCAGAGCCTGTTTTCAGGGTGCTTGAGACAGGGCTGCTCAGAGGGCTACCAGTAACATCTGTGGGTGATCAGTCAGGCCCAAGATTCAGGCAGAAATCTTTATTCCTGAAGAAAGAGATGAAAGAGTAGAGGATAAATGGCGAGCAAGAGAAAAAAACCCAGAAATGCCCATGATGAGATATGCCAAAACAGTAACCTTGAAAAATCTTCCGGGCATCTAGGCCAAAGGTGGTCAACCTCAGAGGCAACATGCTGAGAAGCAGTCTATACAGAGTAAGCACTTCAAAAGATCAGCTAAGTTAATAAATACATTACTGCATTAATAAGAAACTAGAGATTCATTTGGTTTTTAATATTTCAACCAAGTAAATTCTTTGCTGGTTATTTTAAACTTCAGATTGTCATGCTGTTCATGTTGAAAATATTTTATTGTGTGTCTGCCATGTTTTCTCATCATTTCTATAGATTTCTCAGATTATATTTTCTCATGATAGTTCATACATTACTTTTAATTATTTTACAATGTTCCTGCATTACTTTTATAATCATAAATTTAAAAAATCCTCCCTGATGTATTTGCATTAGAGAAGGAGCCATGTCTATCATATTTAAAATTGTACTCCTTTTACAGTGCCTGATATAGAATGTATAGTTATTAATGAATGTATTCACTGGGGTGGGGAATTTCTGGAAACCTCATAAGTTTCCAGAAATTTATGAAGTCAAATAAAAATGGAAAATGCATCACGAAAGACAGAAATTCCTAGCCAACTTACGGAGCTTTGGAAAAAGAAAATTATTTGGGATAAGTTATAATAAAACTCCATTCTAACTGACTAATAAAAATTAGCATAGATTTTGCTCATATTTTGAAGGGTTCTCATGTTTTTTTTCCTACCCCATAGCTCCACCTGGAGAAGATTGTGCATCAGTCACAGACCTGCCCAATGCCTTTGAGGGACGAATTACCATAAGTACGTATCTCTTCTAATCTTGATTAAATTTTCCTGCTTTTGGAAAAGGGTTCAGGTGTGTTCTCTTTGGTACTATTTGAATAGAATATTAGGTCGGGCGCAGTGGCTCACACCTGTAATCCCAGCACTTTGGGAGGCCAAGGTGGGCGGATCACTTGAGGTCAGAAGATGAGCCTGACCAACATGGTGAAACCCCATCTCTACTAAGAATACAAAAAAATTAGCCAGGCATAGTGATGGACACCTATAATCCCAGCTACTCAGGAGGCTGAGGCAGGAGAATTGCATGAACCTGGAGGCAGAGGTTGTAATGAGCTGAGATTGCGCCACTGCACTCCAGCCTGGGCAACAGAGTGAGATTCCATTTCCAAAAAACTATATATATGTATAAAGAATAGTAGTCATTTCCCTAAGACTAAGGATAGTTGGCTTTAATTCACTGTCTCTTCCCTTTTTTTCTGTGAAGACTTGAAACTGCTCTGTGGTTTACACTCATGCATTGTTCCTCAAACTTCAATCATTTGAAAATCGCTTTCACATTTTTTTTGGCATCTCTGTGTACACTGCTATCATTTACTGGATATTTTTTATTTAATTGGCCCATTGTTTTCTACTTAATATACATTCATTTTTAAAAAGAAATCGCACATGGAAACCAAGATCACATCATAAATAGAAGGCAACATTAATAATACATTTAAATGTAAGAAAAATTAAATAATATTCTTAATTTGTGACTGCAGAAAGCTCTGGGTCTGAGTCATGTTCCCTCTTATAAAGGGGGATTAATAACTGTCAGGTGTAGGGGCAGTGTGGCCCCAAGTAGCAATTTTCTGTTTGATGTAACTGAAGTATTGAAAGATAATCATGAAGGATATAAACTTCTTGATATGTGTTTTGACGTCATTTTTACCACATCTATCTGAAATCATCCTGGTATTTGATTATCCACTGGTGTGTATATTCTGGCACTTTTTAAAAATAGAGATAAGGGTCTCACTATGTGGCTTGGGCTGGTCTTTAACTCCTGGGCTCAAACAATCCTCCCTCCTCAGCCTCCCAAAGTGCCAGGATTACAGACATGAGCCACCATGCCTGGCCAATTCCAGCACTTTAGAAATCAGGAAATCTCAACCAGAACTTTCAAATAGGCTAAACTGCTAACCCTGATGTTACTGTCTTTGAGCGTCATTAATTCGGAAGCAGCACAGTGTCGAGGAGGTCTGATTTCTGCTTCCTCACAGCTAGACACTGACAGTGTGCATGGGCATGATGTTGGCAGCGATAGAGGGACGAGAATCTCCATAGGCCACACAAACCCAGCCCCGCACTGTTAGGTAAGGAATTGTCCCTGACCTGTGCCTTGCAGTAGGAAGGGGATGCCTCACTCCATGATGGCTACGACAGGAGGTGTGCTGTCTCAGTCAGCCCTGGTTTGAAATCCTAGTTCCTCACCATGTGTGAGATTTTAGAGAAGTGACATACTTTCTCTGATCCGCAGTTTTCTTGTATGTATGATGGAATAACCTATGAGAATTTTCACGAAATTTGTAAAAGACAGCATATCTAATGTATGCCCAGCCCGTAGTAGATGTTTAATAAATGCCCTGTTTCTTTGATGCTCACAGTTCTCTTTTGAAGTCTAGACCTGTAAGAGTCTGGTCAACAATATTTCCTTGTCAAATCCTCATCTTCAGAGATTACCAGGATGATTGAGACCTTAATTCTTTTTCATGTATGTATTATTAATAGTTCCGCTTGAGGCTTGGCACAGCAGCTCACTACTGTAATCCTAGCACTTTGGGAGGCTGAGGCAGTCAGATCACCTGAAGTCAGGAGTTTGAGATCAGCCTGGCCAACATGGTGAAACCCCATCTAGCCAGGCATGGTGTCATGCACCTGTAGTCCTAGCTACTTGGGAGGCCGAGGCAGGGGAATTGCTTGAATCCGGGAGGCAGAGGGTGCAGCACGCTGAGATTGCACCACTGCACCCAAGCCTGGGCAACAGAGTGAGACTCCATCTCAAAAAAAAAAACAAGTTCCATTGAGCAAGCTAAATAGGTAGACAAAAAGAACCTTTAGTTCCATCAATGCAATACAGCAGTAAATAATTTTATCTAAATGCACACTTGCATAGTGAGTGGCCCAGACTTCAGAGCAGCAAATACTTTTAGGGAGGAATAATGAATGAATGCATTCAGGCTTTTTCTCCTCCGGTTCATTCTAGTCATTTCCTTGTTGAAACCACAGACGTTGATCTTCATATATATCTGTGCTTGTTAATTTCCAGGTTGAATTTCACAGAGGACTGCAAGGCTCTATCTCTATTTAGACCTGCTGATTTCCTAGCCAGAAGTGGGTGTTTGCACAAGCAGACAAAATTTGCCCAAGCAGACAAAATTTTCCCCTTAAAACAGAAAATCTAAATCGTCATCGATTTGCAAATGTGTCTTCCCTGCTGAGGCTATTAGTCTGCTACTTCAAATCTTTTTTGGAGGAATAGATGAAATAAATAGCAACACATTTTATATGTACTTCAGAAGGGAGAGTAGGGAACCAAGTGGGAGGATGATTATTTATTGGGCATCCACTGTATTTTGAATACTGTGCTGAGTACTTTACTTACAATGTATTACATAATCCCCATTTTACAATGAGAAAACGGAAGCTCAGAGTTACCTTGTCTAGAGCTCTATGAAGCTGGGATTCAAACGTGGGGATGGGACTCTCCAGTACTTCTTTGTTTCTTGCCTCATCCCCAAGGTGTGTGGGGGATGGGAGGGTGCACTTAGTGCATCAGCCACTCTCTCCCACCACTGAATAAATAGGTGTTTTTCATTACAAAAGAAAATAGCTTTGAAATCACTACATTACATGCTAATCCACATACTCAAAATATGAGCTGCAAAGTTCTGTAAGTACCTTTTCTCTCTCCCAGCTATTGTTAACCGAGACGGCACCCGCTATGTCAAGAAAGGAGAATACAGAACGAATCCTGAGGACATCAACCCCAGCAGCCCTACTGATGACGACGTAAGCAGTGGATCCTCCAGTGAAAGGAGCAGCACTTCAGGAGGTTACATCTTTTATAACTACTTTTCAACTTCACCACCCATCCCAGATGACGACGGTCCCTGGATCACCGACAGCACAGACAGAACCCCTGCTACCAGTAAGGAGAATAAATCACTGTGCTTCCCAATAGCATTTCCTCGGCAAAATGCCTCTGACCTTCCTACTGCCCACTCACATGCTGATTTTCTCATCTCTAGACAGCTGGAAGTTGGTGACACCATTAGGGGAAGTGGACTCTTGTGGTTGCCAGTGCATTGCATTCATTGACTACTGCTGTTTACCTTTTTTTTCCTCATCTGTAACTGTTTTTCTTACCTTGGCATAATAAGTGCCATATTGGAAGTCTTATTTTGGGGAGAGCCCTCCTTATTCTCTTATCACTAGGGATACAGTGACAATTCAAGCCTGATATGAAAACTATTTTCATTTTTGCATGCTTCCTTCTTGTTCTTATCCACCTATGGGTAAGATAGTTTTTATAGAGTTGGGACCATAGAGTTTGCATACCACTCCACTAGCACTTTTTAAAAAAACCCATTTATGCCTGAGGTTGCAATTCTTTGAATTTTTGCAATCAGACCTTGGTGATGACCTGAGCAGTAGGCTGTAAATACCTCCTACATGCTTAGTGTTCCAATAGTGGAAGAGTAGGCATAAATGGGTCAACTGTGTTATGTTTTAATCTGATTTATACACATATTTTTGATAGTGTAATATTCAGGGATTTTCATCAACCATGATTTACTAACAATTCCTTCATTTTTGGTCCAAAGAAGCATATCTGGAGGAGCTTTCTGATCAAATTGAATAAACTTGAGAGTTCTATATTCCAGCCTGTTGGGGAAGGATCTCAATACTTACTTGGCATGTGGGGGTAATTCATTACTTAGGACTACAAGAGTGGAAGTATGTAAACATTACATTTGATTCCTTTGGAGTTTGCCCCTCGTGCATCAGCTCCACTGGAAAGTGTTTACATCTCTCTTGCCTCTTCTGTTTCCCTCTTGGCTTTTCTTCTATGGTTTGTTTGGAAATGGACTTCCAGATGGGCCATGTTCCTCCAGTGGAGGATTAATCAAACTCAAATAGGGCATCTGCGTCTGGAGCAGTTTTCCTAGTATGGTGTGGATTTTCTCTTTTCCTGGCCACGGCTCCTGAGGGTTGGAACTTGGGCCTCCAAAGAGTGTGGCAGAAATGCGCTGGCTTGTGAATACTCAAGACAGGGCCCTTCCTATTCCTCATTGCCCAGAAGCCAAGGAAACCTCCCCAGCACTGTGATTTCATTTAAGGTCACTTGCTCAATAGCATTTTAAATTTCTGTCAGTCGCTTGCTGAGGGCATGAGACAAATAGGTTCCCATCACTCCCTGCAAATTCTTTGAAGCCTTTCAAAAAGCAGTTTTTTCAAGCTGCCCATGCTTTCTTGAATTATTGACACTCTTGAGGTTGCGTCAGCTTATTGTTGGTAGTCCCATGGGCAACTCTTCTTGAGAGAGGCTTCTGCAAACAAGGCAGGTAGTGCTGCTAGCCACTCACTGCTTCTTGGGTTCCCAGTCTGTTTAAAGTAACCACGTCGAAGGTGCTTATCATTATGGCATGCAATTTTGTCAGATGTTGGCAAACACAATAATTAGTGGTCTCAGCAGGAAGCAGAATAGGTCTACCCTAAAGTATCACTTCCCACCAAAGGAGAAATTCCTGACAAAACATAACTTGTGGGGACTAGACGAAGTTAACATTCAAGCCACTAATAGCCTATATAAAATAGTATTTCATGTGTATTTTTAAAAAGGCAATTAGCACATTTTCTTAACCCCCATAGAATATCTCTTAAGAATGGTATCTTCCCTTCCTAAGTTAGTCAGCAAATGTATTTTGAGAATCTACTATGTACCAGGCCTATTAGAATCTTGGGATCTAAGGATAAACGTGGTTAGGAAGTAATATTGAAAAGAAGCAAGGATTGCTGAGATATTTATTCATTCAATTAATATTTGAGGTCTTCTGTATGCCAGACACTGCTCTAGGATGCTAGGATTTCATGGACTTAACTTCATGGAGACTACATATTATTAGTTTAGAAATCAAGGGAAAGGAGTGCTACAAGACTTAACTAAAACATGGTTCAAGATGTGGGCTGAGAAATGAGTTGTGCCTTTTTCCTCCCGGATAAATTGGTTAAGTTTCTTTCAGCAGCTAAAAAAGAGAGAGACTAATTAGACTACCAGATGAGTCCAGGGCTAACCTAAAAGTCTTTGAAGTACTGTAGGACTCAATGGGACCAGTAGCAGCTCCAAGTGGATCACTTCCTGCAAAGTAAGGTACCAAAGCAAACAACCTGGTGGAAAACTGAGCATAATAACGGCATGCCAGGAAGAGTCAGCACTGATAGGTTCCTGAATAGAATCATATTTTCAAAGTCCAGTGAGAAAATTTGCAAAACCTCGTCACTGTTGCACTGAGAGCTGGGACAGAGTGAGAGGGAGTAATTGCAAAACCTCCCTCATGCATTGCAGGAGGGCAGGGGTCAAGAGGAGCACTGGCTGAGAGCATAGAAGACGCCTGTCTTTGGCTCCGCTGGCTCATTCCTTCGTGAAGGGCCTGTAGTGGGTGGCAATAGGGACAGCTAGTAAGAACAACCATCTGGGTGGCTTTGGGCTTCCAGGAGGCTGTTTATCTTGAGTGTCATCAGCCTCTTCCTATTGGTGATCTGGAACTCTCGAGATCAAGAAACCTAAACCAATTCAGGAAGCAGACTCCTGCCTTGGAACACTGTATTTCCTTGTCTTCTGGGTGTCAAAGAAATAATTTCTTTCTCTTTTTTTTTTTTTTTTTTTTTTCAAATCTGGTGTGGCCTATTTGGGTGGGGAAAATTAGAAATTCTGCTGGCTAGGCAGTAGCTTTTCATTTTTCCCTCATATCACTCCTTTCAGGAAGACAAAAATAAAGCCTATTTCTATCTTGTTCTTGTTTGTTTCCTCTGGTACTGTTTTTTACCTGGTGTACTATTGGGTGAGGGTGGTGGGAACTTGCATCTTTAATAAAGTTTCTGAGGTGAGAACGTGCTGTCTGCAGATTTTCCAGGGGATGCTCAGGTTTATCTGAGGGCTTCGTGGGTAAAATTGGCTCCTGTTTCTCTACTCTCTGTTCTGACCTAATGTGTCCTTTACATCAGGGATGTCTAATCTTTTGGCTTCCCTGGGCCACACTGGAAGAATAATTGTCCTGGGCCACACATATAATGCGCTAACACTAACCATAGCTGATGAGATAACAAAAAAAACCTGCAAAAAAAATCTCATAATGTCTTAAGAAAGTATATGAATTTTTGTTGGGCCACATTCGAAACCGTCCTGGACCGCATGTGGTCCACAGGCTGTGGGGTAGACAAGCTTAATTTAGAGGACAGAATCTATTGTGCCAGCTATTGGCATTTGATATAGATAGAGTCAAAGTTTTTAACCTAGGGTTCATGGATTCAGTGATAGGCCATAGGCATCCTCTAACCATTTATATGCAAAATTTTGCGTGTGTGTATGCGTAAGGTCACTTTTTTGAGGAGGGAGGTCACAACATAGATTTTCAAAGGAATGCATAATTTAAAGTGTTTTTTTAAAATCTCGACTGGCTTAAATTAGATATTTATCCTGGTGGTTTTTGCCATTCTGCTTCAATAAGGAAACATCCTGAACTCAAGTCAAACTTGAGAGTCAAATAAGAGATTTTATATTGCAAAAATGTTACTGATGATATTTTCTCTAATTTGAGAAACGAACTTTGGCAACTCTGGTTTTTTGGTAGAAACACTTACTGAATTGGAATAAAAAGTGACAGAAGTGATGGATGCTTGAGGAAACTTTATCTGATTTTGACGCTTTGAACACGTTTTCTTTGCCAAGTTCCTGCTCAAGAATGAAGTTTGACTTGAGGCCGATGTGTGTGGGTGGAGCTTTGAAATGCCAGTTGTCATCACAAGCTACCTGGGTACAATGCTAGGCAGATGTGAAAAATACACACTAGCAATCCAAAGATAATCGAAAGATAAATGAATGAAAGCAACTGCTTGAAATTCTGCTTCGAAAACCTCCAGTTCATGGCTCAGTCACCCAATCAAGTAAACTGAAAATCTCTTTCCTTCACAGGTTATTAAGTTGATGTTTGATTTTGCTTTCATCATGAATTCAGGGGGTTCCGTTTGAAGAATGAATAGCATGAAATTGATACCTATGTGGAATTTGCATTTCTGATGTTGTCCTAAGATTGTGGGAGACATTAGGAGTCTGGAAAGATAAAACCAGGCCTACATTTTTCTTTTCTAATTATTCAGTGATAGACACAGACATCATATATAGACAGAACTGAAAGTAAAGATTTATAGAGGTCATTAAATGATATTTTCATAGTTGATCCTGTTAGTTCAACTGTGCACTCAGCCACGCAGCAGCTCAGGAGCAAAATAACTGGCTATGGTTCTGGTTTGGTAATTCACAGCCTATGACTCAGGATCTCATAACAACATCAGTGACAGGTAAACTGCTTCATCTTTTGCTTGCCAGCTCTCCTGAATACCAGATCTTTTAGTGTTAGGGGAGAGGACGTCCATTATCATGCCAAAGCTTCTTTGCCATTCTTAGTGAGAATAGGGTCTGGTACCACTTTATTTATCAGAAAGGCTTGTGGATCTGGGGATGATTGATATTTGTAAATGTCCGGTTTGCTTTCCTTTTGGCAACATGTATGTAGAATCGGAATGATTTTTCCATCAGAGGAAGGAAAACTGTGAATTAATAGTTTTGAATGAATGAATGAAATTATGGAAAACTACAAATGAATGAATGGACTCTGTGATTCACTGAGAAAATGTCCTTTAGAAAGAAGCCTGTCTGAAAGTGCAGTTTCCTCCTTCCTACTCATCTGATTCTCACAACCAATAATAAGAGAAGGAAATGTATATTTCTCTTATCAAAGTATAGACCCTGAACCCTTCTTTGGACACTTAAAATCTCAACAGTAAAATGTAGGAAATGACCTGTTTCTCCATATCAGAATCTAGGCCTCTAATAAGCTCCCTGGGTGTGTGGCTCTTAGTTCTATATCCCTGCAAAGTGTATTGATAAAGGAGCTTTGGGAAAACCAATTCAAAATCTGTAAAAATGGGAGATTACAAACACCTTCATTTATTAACTTTTATTGATGGAGGTAATGGCCTTATTCCAAAATAACTAGACATTCTTTCTGCAGAGGGAAGTAATAAACATGGAAAGATGATTCTTTACATTTGTTTGGCTTATGTGACACTGGATAAATTATATTCTTCTATAAATAATCGTGAGAAAAATAGTGCTCATGTTACCTTATGGTTGCCATATCACAATGTCTAAGATCATGCAGAGGTGGGGAGCGGGGATAGAAAGATTGCAGAATAAAGAAAATGCTATTTATAAATGTTGACAATGTTTAGCTTCATAGGACAAACAATGTGAAGGAATAGGTCTTCTTGGCAGTGTTTCATCTTGGGTTATTTTTGCTTTTGGGCTTTCTTGATAGCTGGAAAAAAATCTATTTCACCTTACTTTTGTGTTTAGGGATGATGGTTTCAGCCTCTCTGCTTCAACTTGTTCTCAGCTTTTTGTCTGCTGTTAGCTCATATGCTTATGATGTACATTTTTGTGCATTAGAAATGGCAGTCTCTGGAAATTTTTAAATCATTACTCTTGCTTCTGGCCTTATTAGCGAGATCATTGGGGTCACTTCATCTCTGTCTTTCCTGATTGATTATTCTATTTTCAAAGAATGGGACTCAAAATGTCCTGTTCTGCTTTGCAAAATATAGTTTGATATAAGAAATTACCGTGGGCAAGGTTGTTAGAGGGATTTGGAATCTAAATGGAAAAAAGTGGAAAGGTATCTTTTTTAGTCTTCTACTTCTATGTCACTTTCCCTGTGTGTTGGATTGTTAGGCTTATGTATCTATTGCTGGCAGAAATATCATATCCTAAATTCTTGGAGAATGATATTGTTTGCCCAAGATTGTATAGAAGATTAAGGAACTAGGATTCTGAAGAGCTGAGTTTTATAATCATAAACTCAGATTTAGAAAGGATGTTAGATGCTGTGGTTCAATCAACACTTCTAATAATTTAATCTCTTACACAACTTTCCTGCCAAGTGACCTTCCTGATGTTGGGAAACATAATACTTTATGAAGAAGTTCATTGTTGGATCGTTCAGATTATTGCTTTTTAAAATCCAACATTTGGAAGAACATTCATCTCTCTGAAATTTTCACTACAGGTCCTAATTTGGCCTCATGGATCCAGAGACAAAAGTTAAATCTCTCTTTTATATTATATAGACTTTCAAAATTCAAAGACAGCTCTCATGCGTTCCTGGAGCCCTCACTCTTGCTAATTAGCCATCTGACTTCAGACAAGTCAGAAGCTTTGTCCAGCACAATCTTTAAATCTTTAAAACAAGGAGCATGAACCAGATGATATTTAAGATCCTTCCCTCTCTGACATCCTATGAACTCCAGCTTGGGCCTCTGAAAAAAATGGAACTTTTTTGCTTTTTCCCTTTCTTTTCACTATCCATATCAAATATAGATGATTCTCTTGAGTAGTAAAAGAGCATAAGCATATTCAATGCTGTTTCTTAGGAACTTTTAATTAATCTTTCAACAATCAATTCAATCACGATTACAACAGCTTTGATGAGCACTAGTGCCACAGCAACTGAGACAGCAACCAAGAGGCAAGAAATCCAGGATTGGTTTTCATGGTGGTTTCCACCGTCAGAGTCCAAGAATCATCACACAACAACACAAATGGCTGGTAATGAGTTATGATTATCTCATAGCATATGTTTTCTTAACAGCCTTGAATAATTTTTATTGACCAATGGGATGTTGTTAAAGCCTAAAGTCCCTTCTAGTCTCAGAAATGTTTGTTACAACTTTAGAAGGATCATGAACTCTGGTATCTGTTTGCTTGTATAGCACTAATAGGATTTCTTCTTTCTAATCTGTGGATTAGTATAGCCCAGGAGAAGGCTAATACAGAGACTATGAAAAGGGAACAAGATTTTTTTAAATGATATTGCAAAATTGTGACTCTGAAAGATTATTCATGTATATTCTAAAATTACCACAGTCATAAAAAGTCTTTGATTTTCATAAGGAAATAGCACAGCTAGATCTGAAAAAATATAGAAAATGTTCATCAGTGGAACTATTCTTGGGGTAGACAGGAATCGTATGAAAAGACAAATGCTCATTCCCTAAGATAGCCTGAATCTCATTCAAAATGTAGAAAACCCCTTTTTAGTAAAGAGACATCTTCTACAGTAACCACTGAGAAGTAGACATTTTTCATCTCCTTTTTTTATTCAAAAAAAAAAGTAAAAATTTCTCAAAATCTCAACTACAGTTCACTTTAGTTAACCCTCTTGGTGGCCTAATAAAGCCAGGAATTATTTCTCTGTTAATTGGCTTCATGGTTTTGCTCTATGCTGAAGTATTCTTGGGAACTAAGAATACTTAGTTCCCAAACTAAGCTGCAAACACAGATAGAACTAAGCTTCTATCTGTGTTTGCAGCTATACTGATCTGATGCTAGAGAAGATAAAAAATGAATTAGCAAATTGTGAACACAATGAAATGATTGACACAGGTGTAGATTCCAACATTTTTCTGGAGATGTCTTGACAAAAAAAAAAAAACACATGTGAAACCTTTCCATTCTGTCCTTGATGACTTGACTTTAATGGCATGTGCTTAATGAGTTAGTAATAAATGCGTCTGAAAGTGTTGAGGGGGGGGTTTCACTGGCCTTTAAAAACTTATTTGGAGAGATTATGTCCACACATAATGCTCTTTTAGCTTTCTTAAAGAGAATATTCAGTTTTAAAGATCATAGCCAATTGTTTTGAGATTTATGTATCAACTTTGGAGACCAGAACATAAGAATTTGGGGTATGCAAATCAACTCCCTCATTTTCTTTATAAAATCCTGGGAAATCCATTATACCTTCTGTGCCTGATTTTATTCCTTTGCAAGTGGGTTGCTTGGCATCTAGCTCAGCCACTAACGCAAGTCACCACAACAGGTACGTCTTCAAATACCATCTCAGCAGGCTGGGAGCCAAATGAAGAAAATGAAGATGAAAGAGACAGACACCTCAGTTTTTCTGGATCAGGCATTGATGATGATGAAGATTTTATCTCCAGCACCAGTAAGGATAATCAATTACAGTATAGCCATTTATGCAAGGCTTATTGATTAATCTGAGTGATACCCAATTGTATCTTTCCTGAAAAGCAGTTAATGTGAAAAATGAGTGAACCTATGATCATACCTTAGTTATACATTGATGAGATTATGGAGGAAGAAATAGAATGTTTTGAGGAGAAGTGGGGAAAACATCTCACAAAATTTCTAATGTTTCATGTTCTTCCTTTTTGATTTATCTATGAGGTCTGCTGCTACAGATTATCTTTGAATGATCAGGCTTTGACAGAGAATGACATATTAAAACAGTACAACAAATATTCATTGTGTACTTACTGTGCTAGGTGCTAGAAACACAAAGAAGAAAAAAGCCAGAGCCTTTGCCTTTCAGAAGCTCATGGTCTGTTGGAGCAATAGGCTTGGAGAATGTGATTAGAAGAGTATTAATTAAAAGTTGTAGAAGATCCTAAGTTGAAGGCCCTTAAGGCTTAAATGATGGGAGCTAGAACTCAAGAATTATTTTAGTTAATCAAAACCTGGCTGAGGTCGAAGGAACAAATCCAGAGTTTTAACAAATGAGCTGGACACCAATATAATAGAAAGACCTCGAAGGGAAGGGCAAATGTCAGGTTAGCTTTCACAAGACATCGCCACTTATTAAAAGCAAATAGTAAAACCACTATTGGTACATAACAGTATCCAAATTTTTGACAATTATAAAATGTTTTTAGAACAAAGAGATGGAAATTGAGCTCTAAAGATGTCCTTAAAAAGTTAAAAACATGCAAAGGTTGGTCTAATATTTTGCCGGATTACTGAGTTTTCCCCACATACCTGTAATGACCTAAGATTTTGCTGAGCAGAGCTGAGAATCCTGAACCTGACCCCATCACAGTTCTGCTTTTCCTTAGAAAAAGGGCTTTTGGGGGACTACATGAGCTCTCCCAAGTCACTGAAGTTCTATCCATTTCATTAAAACCTGAGAATTGGCCGGGCGCGGTGGCTCAAGCCTGTAATCCCAGCACTTTGGGAGGCCGAGGCGGGTGGATCACGAGGTCAAGAGATCGAGACCATCCTGGTCAACATGGTGAAACCTCGTCTCTACTAAAAATACAAAAATTAGCTGGGCATGGTGGCGCACGCCTGTAGTCCCAGCTACTCCGGAGGCTGAGGCAGGAGAATTGCTTGAACCAAGGAGACGGAGGTTGCGGTGAGCCGAGATCGCGCAATTGCACTCCAGCCTGGGTAACAACAGCGAAACTCCGTCTCAAAAAAAAAAAAAAAAAAAAAAAAAACCTGAGAATTTCATCCTCACCTGGACAGCATCCAGAGACGAAAGGGTCCAGGAAAAAAATAGTTTAGGCCTTGAAGGCATCTGAGTATGTACATTGACATAACAAATACTCAAAAGGAACTAGAATTTCCTGTCTAAATTTTTAAGTGATTTTTTTTTAGACCTGACACCCCTCCAGAGCTTAATCTATGGAATAAGAAAATTCTTTTTGGTAATTTCAGAATGAAACCAAATAATCGAAAACACTGGAGGTTTACATTACACTGTCTCCTGTGTTCAGGATGTGGCCCCACTTTGCAGGTGGGCCCATTAGTAAAGACGTGGTCTTGATACTGGATAAATTAAATTCCCTTGGCTGGTAACCCAAACAGATCTATGTGCAAATGAGTTGTATGTCAGGCTTCAGGGAGAAACTTCCCATGGTACTTTTTAAAATTTTTATTTTTTTAATCTCTATGGCATGTTTTCCGATTTCAGTTTACTTCTCTGCTTAGCACCTATGGACATAATTCAACACGATGCCCTCTTTCTACTGGAGGGGTGTGATAACTGCTTGATAATATGTACTTTTTCATGCTTATTGAGAATGTGGTTAATGATTCTAAACTTGATTTTCATGACTTGTAAAATAGAGCTGATGGTATTATAGTTCTGAAAACAGTTTTGTGTTATTTGGGTGTCAGAATAAAGTTTGAAACAATTAGGATGGATTTGCAAACAACCTTTTCACAAAACACATTGATTCAGATTTTGTTGTGATCCTTCTGCTAGGTGCATCTCCTATTCCAGCTCTAACAGATTGGGTGACAACATTAGGGTGCTGGTGGATGTATGCCACTTTCTTTCCAGTGTGTTGCTATAATGGTGGCTGGTTACCTGTGGTGTCTTATTTTCTTTCATTGGCTATGAATGGCTTGCTCATGACATATTTTGTATTTGATGAAAATATCATAGGTGTTTCATAAATATTCAGAAACAAACCATATGGCTATTCCAGGTAGATATTCTCTCTCAGAATCATCTATAGGAAAGCTCTGGCTGCTCAGGCATTTCTTTCCCCACCGAAATTACAAATAACATAAAGTGATAATTATGGTATAACTTTCAGTTATCTGCCTCTTCACCCTGAGGATCTACAAATAGTACACAGTGATTAAGTCCCTGGGCTTTCAAGTGCAGCGGGATACTACGGACTGCATGGATGGGCAAAATGGCGCCTTTGGCTATCCTCGGTGGAGGGCTGGTGTTTTCAAAGCTGTCCTTCCTACTGCAGCAGCTTCTTTTCTGCTTTATCTGGAAGATCTCATGTTCTGAACTCCAAGTATTCTATGACAGAATGCAAAGGACACTGAGATGCTTATCAATATGGCTGAATTAAGCTGAAGGCACTCTGCGCTTTCCCTCCACTTCCATGGAGCCATCTATACAACCGGGTATAGATGATTCATTGCATAGTCTACCGAAGCAAGGTTATGTGCAAGACAAGTGGTGAAGGCTCAAGGAATAACATTTTTCTAATTGCTTCAATCACGTTATCACAGTTTCAACCACACCACGGGTTTTTGACCACACAAAACAGAACCAGGATTGGACCCAGTGGAACCCAAGCCATTCAAATCCAGAAGTGCCACTTGAGACAACCACAAGGATGACTGGTAATGGGTTATACTATTTAATGAAAGATTATTTTTCCCCCTCAAAGCCTATGATGCTGCAAAGGTCAATCATTGGGACACAGTGGGAAATTTAGTTAATATCTCTTCAAGAAATTCTTAGCGGACTTTCATGAGGAAACTCAATTCCATTTAAGAGTCGTTTATCAATTATACCATGTGGACACAGGATATTTTACATTACTTCATTATAAAAATGAATATGTTTAAATGGTTTACGGTGCTGCCTTTGACAAACTGATCATAGTGGATTAATAAGTAAACACAAAGAAATTCCAAGCCCATTGATTTTCTCTTGAGACAGATTAGGTAAAGTCACTGAAAATTTTTTGAGAGTGGATGCTCAAAGGTACTACTTTGGCATAGAATTGTTAAGTAGCATGCACTTTAATGGAAGAACAGAATCATTAAAAGTTGGTTGATAACAAGTCACAGTGTATTTAACCATCATCACAGCAGATGTAGACAGAAATGGCACTACTGCTCATGAAGGAAACTGGAACCAGGAAGCACACCCTCCCCTCATTCACTATGAGCATCACGAGGAAGAAGAGATTCCACATTCTACAAGCACAAGTAAGCAAGATGGCGGTTGGCAATTCTGGGTAGACGAGTTCGTGAAGACATTGCAGAGATAGGGAAGATTTTGTTTGGACATTGGCCACATCTTGTTTTCACTCAGTAGTTTCTTTTATTCTCAGAGGCTGAAAAGCTGCCAAATCTGCACACAAATTTTAGAAATTAGAAGGAAAATGATAACTCACCAGGTTTCCCAAAGGCCAACATGTTTAAAAAGTAGATCTAGATACAATTTTTGTGTTAAAGGTTCCTTGGGTGACTTGTGTGTGTTTTTGGAAATGTGTGGTGAAGAGTGTGTTCTTTGGTGCTTAGCAGTGGAATCTGGAAGGAAAGTTTGTCAAGTGAATTGATCTTTGGAATCCTTGTTTTCTATGAAGATCTTTTATGAATACAGTTTCTTTTTTTTTGTATTTCATCCCTGACTGTTCTATAGAAGGACATCCTTTGCACTCTTTAGAGCAAAGTTGGTAGCTCATATGGTCTACATTTGAATTCTACAACAGAGTAACTTGAGGAAGGCTTTGATGCTCTTACTGTTATTTCTACTGTTATGAAAACTTCTCAGGTTTTCTAAAACAATCTCAAGTTGCTGCACTGGACTGTGAGGATAGGGGACCCCTTCACCCCCAAACATAAAAAGTATATGCTTTTCTTCTTTCATCTATCCCACTGAGAGATAGATGAAATATCTTATCTTATTTGGAATAAAAGAAGCATTTATTTTGGAAAACAGCTTTTTAGCATTTTTAAAACGATGGTTCAACTGTCATTCTCACAGCCCTGAATACACCTAATGGGAAAATGTGAGCAATAGCCACTTAAAAACCAAAGGGCTTTGGGACTCTATGACTTGAGCAGTGCATTCAGACAACAAAAGAAAAGTTTCAGGTATCAGATAGCATAGAGGCTAATAAGTCTTGGACATTGTACTGAATATATCCAGCAGGCCTTACATCCATTTCATACCCCAGTAGATTTGATGTATGCATAAGGCTTAGGGGCTGAGTTAAAAAAGAAATCTGATAAGAAAAGGAAATACAGAGGAAGCAGAAGTCTCTTTGGAATAGGACTCTGTTCCAGTCACTTAGAGCCCTAACGGTATATCTTAGAAACTACTTTAGACAGTTTGTACTTAGAGACCAGAAAGCTACTTTAGAGACTTGGAAATAATGAGCCTGTTGTCAAAAGGTGGTGCTTGGGGCATTAGTGCTAGAGGGTAGGTGAAAATTCAGACAGAATGTAACTTGACAAAGAGAAGACAGCAACAACTGTAACAATTCTCTTAGGAGTATTTGCAGAACTCAAAGGGATCTGACTGGTAACTTCTGGGCTTTAACAAATTAACATCACAACTTCTAGAAGAAAGTCAACCTTCATCTTTTAGGATAGAAATCGTATGTTCTGCTAACCCATTCCTATTTAAGCTGAAAATAATAAAGGGTTATGGGTACTTAAAAAAAATCATTATGTTTATAAAAGCAGTGATAGAAGGAGTGTAGAGTCCTTCTGTACAGTCACACACATATACTTCCTTATTTCTTTTATTTAAACTTTGAGTAACACGGCAGTCTATGTTTGGGTCAATTTTCCTTTTTTTGTAATTACATTCAGTGGTTTTTCCAACTTCATTATTGTTGGGAATTAGTAATTTAGCCAGTGGGAGGTAAAATTTAAAGATTTGGCTTTTCTTCCCCTCCCCTTGGATAACCAGTTACCCAAGAATGGCTTGGCCAATGTAAGGGTAAAATGAGGATGGTATGCTTTATTTTTTAAATGTCATTGCTGTCACCAAATTACACACATATCATTTTCTAAGAGAATGAAATACAGCCATTTTTACAAGTCGCAAAAAAATACTCTGACTTGGCAAGTTTACAGGCTCTCATTTTCTTGATAAACTAAAAATAATTTGCTGTAAGTTGCATAGGCAAAAATGTTGGTGTCTGACTTTTCCTGAAGGCACCTCGATGAAATTTTATTCTGTTGATTTTTGTCCTTTTTAAAACCATGGTTGAAATTGTAAGCCTGTCACGCACTATTATTTATATAATGCCTCAGACTAGCTTGGATAGTTTTTGTCAACTGAATTAATTTTGTTACAAAGTGATTTTAGCAATTTTGGGTGCCATGTGGACATTACTATATAATGTGTTAATGGAATAGTATCCAGGCCACCCCAACACCTTTCCTGCTAGGCAGATCCACTGCTGGTGCCTTTCCATCATGTGTGATTATGGGTTACAGGACCACCATTTGAGAAGGTCCCCTAATGCGCTGATCTTGTCATTAGTTGTTGTACAGTATTTTCCTTTCCTCAAAATGACTGGAGCAAAGAGGTTATTATTTGAATGGTTTTCTCAGACAGAGTATTTGACGCCATATACTACAGTAAAATAAAAACAAAACAATGATAACTCATAGAACTATGAGAATTCATCAACTATGGTCTGCTTAGTACTATGATTTTGAAAAAATCAAAACCTCTTTGGACCACAATTTTGACATCTGAAAAGTTAAACGTTTGGATCATTTGATTTCTAATATCCCCTTTAGAATATCAGTGGCCTGTTTCTTTGTTGCCTTTCCTTTCTACCTTCTATCCCCATGTGTATCTGTCCTTAAAGTAGAAAGATACGTGACAGCTATTGGCAAGGAAAATAGACAATTTTGTCTCCCAACTGATATTGTTCTCATAGTCCAGGCAACTCCTAGTAGTACAAATGAAGAAACGGCTACCCAGAAGGAACACTGGTTTGGCAACAGATGGCATGAGGGATATCTCCAAACGCCTGGAGAAGACTCCCATTCAACAACAGGGAAAGCTGGTAATGGATGGTTTAACAAGCAAATTTGGATGGCAACTTCCTTTTGGGTTAAATGGTAGACATTGAGGACATTAAACAAAAGGACACTGGAGGAATTGTCACAAGATGTTAGGTTCCTTAATAAATTATCTTGCAGTTAACACAAAGCCAAACCTTAAAGGCTCATAACAAGTCACCTGAACAGGAATAAATACAAGCCAGGTAGGAATAGGAACAGGAAACACAGAGAATATGCCCTTGAGCATGTTTCTTTCACATCGAGTTTTGGGCATCATCTAGTGAGATTGTAGCAGAGGCCCTTATAAAATACCCCCTTTTGTCATGCAAAGGAATATACTCTATAATGTGGGTCCAGGTTTACAATGAGATTTCTCACAAAGTATTTTCTTGTGATAAAGCATTTTGTCAGAACTTCAGTGTTTGAAGAAATAGAGCCAGACATTATGTGAAAAATGACACCTGTCTGATGTCATTTGGCTTTTTGGTCATGCCTGTTTGGTAATTTGCTTTTTCAGTATTAAAAAGGCATCTTCTCTATTCTTGAAATGTGAGATTGTGGAAATTGGAATCAAGTCTTATCATCATCTCTAAGTGATGCCAGATAACTTGGCTCTGCAAGCACCCATGCAGAATTCTTTTGTCTGTGTGACATAAGTATTGAAATGTGTCCTGCCTTATAGAGAAGGTGAATTCCATATTTTCACTTGGTATCAGTGAGAAATAGTCCCATGTTTCTATTTGCAATATAGAAGACAATGCATCATGTCCCTCCGGGGCATGACAAGTTCTGAATGAATTCCTGGCAGATCGGTGGATTCTGTGACTGTCTATGTGGTATGGTTGTTGCTAAGAGGATGCTATTGTAATCTTTTCTACCTATACTTCTTCATTGGCTCAGAATGAAGCAAGGCATATGCTGCTGTCTTGTGTGTCATTTATGCCATAAGTCCCGTTGTTAGAAGGTAATGCTTCTAACGGATTCCATTCATTCTTTTGAGATAAATCGCATTGACTTTCATGTTGATCACATGGAAAGCTGTTACCTGATTTCTTTCCTGAGATCACTTCCAGCCTAAGGTGCATTCGGCTGGAATATGATTGCCTCAGAATGACATCATGCACTTGGGCTCTTATACTTCTGCTCTCAGGGGACTGTGGCAGCATTGCATGGGTCCAGAACTACTTCTCCTTCATCTTCCTTTGATGTCTGTAACTCGTCCTCTCTGCGCTGCAGGAGTTGTTAATGCTTTCGTGTCCTCCAGTTCACATGCTGATTGCTAAGAAGAAAATGAGCATGAGTGAACTCGAACCTGCTGAAGCATTCTGCGTTTATGCAACTTCCTTGCCCTCTATACAAGGAAGATGGTCGCATTGTCTTGTCAAGAGAATAAAGTCTTTTTAAAAAATAAAATCAAGGTACCCCTGACCAAGCGTCCATTAACACTTTGACAATTGCTTGAACTGCATGATCACAACAGCCTCAGCCCACACCAGGCATCCAACGCAAGGAACGACAACATTGAGCCCAGAGGACAGTTCCTGGACCGATTTCTTCGACCCAGTCTCACATCCTATGGGACGAGGTCATCAAGCAGGAAGAAGGATGGGTAATAACCTCTGAAAATTTTATATATTATGTTTTTGAAATCCACTGAGTGACTGTTCACTATTTTTCTAGATACATGCCCTTAGTTTTAGACCAGCCTACTTTCCTGAAGGACTTAAGGTTCTTCAAAAATTCATTTTCTTGGTAGGAGTGATATGCATATTCATCTGAATTTGAACACTTGAGCTGAAAGTAAGGAATTTGGCAGGAGAGTTGGCAAAAGAAGATACTTATTTTAAAATATAGCGGATGAGGCAGTAAGTAATAGATGTGAAATGAATTTTGCTGATAATGAACACCAAAGAAATTCTGAGAACCCCTTCTCACCTACCATAGCATCACAGAAAGGTGAACCGGACCTGATTTATAAAAAATTTTAAAAACCTGGATGGTCAGAGAAAGGAAGTGGGTGGAGGGGCGGGTGGGAGTTTTTCTAAGAAGGAGACTTGTGTAAGGAGAAACATGAAGGAAGAAAAGCCAAGGAATGAATATGTCAAGTGAGTGGATCCATTTGTCACAAAGGAAGATATGTTTGAATGGCTAGGCCCAGCACACATGAGTTTGCACATGGCAGCTGGAGCTCTGAGGACACCCATGGGGGAAAACCAAGATAGGCAAAGATCTTAAGAATCAATATTAAGTCTCTGTACTGATGAAGAGAAAGAGATTCCATTAAATTAATGAAGATGTCAAGGACAATACAATTGGCTTCAACTACACAATGGTGTGGTACCTCTTGAAGGACTCTACTTATAAGAGGGAAGATAAACAAGAGTCTAGAGCCCATCATCAAGTGGGACTTTTTCTGGGAGAATGTCCATTTGTGGCTTTGATTCAGGTTAGCCCTTGCTCTTGTTTGAAATCTGGGATAGGAGAGTCACCACATTTTTGTCCTACAAAGATCTTGAATATTTTAGTGTTGAAAGGCTGCAGTGCAGACATGGGTACCCAGTATTCTGCTGCTTTGCTGGAACCAATTAGCTCTCTCCAGAGGCAGTGATGTGGATGGATTTTGACTGGATTGGAGAGCCATCAATATTGATGGGGTTTATGAATTGTTTGGCCTCTGTGTCACTCAAGACTTGTTATTTCAGCAGAATAGATCTGTAATCACTATTAAAAACAACATTTGCAAGTATTTCAGTGAAATTTCTGCACTACTCAACATTGTACACGTTAAATTTTAAAGACTCCTTAAACTTGAGTTTCCTGGAAGAATAATTTGGTGACATCCACTGCTTCTTATTTCTTGCCCCTGTATACTTCCTGTAACTCCACCTAGGTGGTATTGGGTGATGATTTTGTGTTTATTTGCATATTCACTTTGTGAAAAGAAAAAGACTAAAGGGGGAAGAGGGCCATTTTTAAAAGCCCCTTTGGTTGGTAAGAGGGAGGGGGTAAAATAGTGCCTGAGTCAGTGCACTTTGACTTTTCTCCATGTGTCAGATTGCATGTTCTGTAAGAAAGGCAATGTTTCTGTCTCTCTGCACGATTTGGGTGTTCCATCATGTGCTCATGTAGAGTGCTTCTAGACTCAGCAAAAACAAACATGAATCATAGATTTCACATAACTCAGCTCTTCAAGGAAGGCCAGTTACTTGTTGTGGTACTCTGTAAAGAAACAATAATCTATCTCAGTTCTGGAGATATCATCAACATGTGCTTTCTTTCCTCTTGGCCAGATGTGAAATATTTTAAAAAATCTGTTGTAGACCATAAACCACCTTCGTAGTGGTTTGGGAAACCAAGTGATAACACTAATATTGATTCCTTCAGATATGGATTCCAGTCATAGTACAACGCTTCAGCCTACTACAGATCCAAATACAGGTTTGGTGGAAGACTTGGACAGGACAGGACCTCTTCCAATGACAACGCGTAAGGATAACGATGCTCAGCCCCTTTGTTGACTTGTATTCCTGCTTCATCTCTTAATTCCCTTTAGCCAGGATGCAGAGCTTTGGTGGTGGAATGGTGCATTTAGTTCTATGTGGCTCCGCTCAGCCCAGTGTGTGAAACTGTCTTTGTTGTCTTTATTTCTTGTACAAGTCTCTCAACCTGATTTTGCCTTCATTTCTTAGTGCCTTCCAGATTCAATGACTTTGTGTTTTAAAAAAAATGTGGGACTCTATTCAACTCCATTTTCATTCTCTAAGTAGTTATGTCAGTGAAACACAAGCCTACTTCTAGGATAGTGATTTCTCTATGTTTTAACTGACCATTTCCTTTTAATATCCATTTTTCCTCCAGCAAATGCAGAATAGGGGTAGGATTGCTTGCATGGTTGTGAAAAGACATTTTTGGGGCCAGATAATCCTAGAAATTACATCAGTTCTTAGAGGAGAGGCAAGGCATGTTATTGACAATCAACAAAGGTGGCAGGATCCCTGGAACAACAACAACAAAAAATTTGCTAGTATCTCTTTCTATCACTAAGAAATGGTCAATTTCTAGTAGCCTTAATTTCTACTATACATGCAGGGATGTCCTAGAGCTCAGCCTAAAGTCATTCGTAATTTCTTAGAAGAATATGAAAAAATATCTATAATTGGCTGGGCGCGGTGGCTCAAGCCCGTAATCCCAGCACTTTGGGAGGCCGAGGCGGGTGGATCACGAGGTCAAGAGATCGAGACCATCCTGGTCAACATGGTGAAACCCCGTCTCTACTAAAAATACAAAAAATTAGCTGGGCATGGTGGTGCGTGCCTGTAATCCCAGCTACTCAAGAGGCTGAGGCAGGAGAATTGCCTGAACCCAGGAGGCGGAGGTTGCGGTGGCCGAGATCGCGCCATTGCACTCCAGCCTGGGTAACATGAGTGAAACTCTGTCTCAAAAAAAAAAAAAAAAAAAAAAAAGAAAAAGAAAAAATATCTGTAATTAAGAAGGTCCCATTACTGCTTGTCACACATAATGGGCAGAGCCCTTCGTATGAGCCCTGTAGGCAAAGGAAAAAAATCAGCAAGCATGTATTAATTGTCAGCAATGTAAATAGCCAGTGTTGAGCACCAAAGAAGATACAAATAAGCCTATAAATGACCCTTGCCAAAGAAAGACTTATATTTCCATTTTATGTCACTGTTGGCTTTTATTCTGACATTGGGTTTGGGATTTGGTGACTGTCTCTCCTGGTTGTAATATTTATTTGGTGGTGGGCATGGCTTATGGGTGTGCTTCATGAAGTTTTTGCACGTGCAACTCAGAGGTTAGTACCTTTCTTAAGAACACAAAAGAAATAAACTTGAAACAGTCCAGGTGATTTTAGATATGGGCAATTGTTCAACCTCAAATTGAGATATATCACTGAGGGCCCTGTGTTTGCCCAGGCAAGCGTTTCCTTGGTGCAGCCATGAGAATCCCCCTACACAGATGAAATTAAAAAGCTTAATAATGGAGTAAAATGGTAACTTTAATTTAATGACCTTCACAAGGTAGCTAAGTATTGCCTTGTATAAATTTGATCGGTGTTACTTGAGCAGACTATTCTAGATAGGCTTCTTTTTCTTTTGCGGTTACAAGTAGACTACGTGCTATCATGCTGTTTATCTTCCCTGCTATCACATTTCTTGACACGCAGTTAGATGCTCTTGATTTCTGAAAGATTCTTTTTTCCTCATCTCTGTGTTCTCTGGTTTTCCTAAGTGACTGGGAACAATGTTACAATTGCACCAGAACAGTCCAGGGTAGGCAAAGTTTTGGCTCAGCCTTCACCTTGCCACTTTACCTTTGTTGAGTATACTGAGAAATAGAGTCTTTGGAACCAACTAGGGGGAAAATAGAATTCTTCCATATATTTCTATCTATCAGAGGAGAATGATGTGCACAAACCTATGTGCCTACCCATCTGACTCTGCGATAGCTACATCTTCCCTGCTAGCAGATAACAGGATTTGTGTCATCACTTCAAATTAACACTGGATTCATCCCTCATTGAAACAGAGCAGAGTAATTCTCAGAGCTTCTCTACATCACATGAAGGCTTGGAAGAAGATAAAGACCATCCAACAACTTCTACTCTGACATCAAGCAGTAAGGAATAATTATAAAACCTAGTTGGCTTCAGCAATTGATAAGAATCAATAAATTATGGGTGCTTTTGCAGTGTCTTTGGTGGAGGTGCATCCATTGGCTGCTGTTATGCTGTTACTTTTAATCAAAAGGTGCATCTGGTGGCGGTTCTCTGATTTTTCTGTTTCATATACCTCTTTGTACATTAAGTGCAAACTACATTTCTTAATCTTAAAGGTTGGGTTTCTTTCACTCCAGGGTTAGTAATTTGTTTTGACAATAATGAATTGCTTATATATGATTTATTTATTTATTTTTGTTAACTTCAGATCGTTCTAACTTTTTGATGTGGGCATTTAAATTTAGTGCTATAAATTTCCCTTTTACTACTGCGTTAGCTATGTCCCAGAGATTCTGGTACCTTGCATCTTTCTTCTTATTAGTTTTAAAGAACTTCTTGATGTTTACATTAATTTCATTATTTCCCCAAAAGTCATTCAGGAGCAGGTTATTCAATTTCCGTGTAATTGTATGGTTTTGAGTGAGTTTCTTAGTCTTGATTTCAAATTTGATTGTGCTGTGGTCCAAGAGACTGTTATGATTTCAGTTCTTTTGCATTTTGATTTATAATTGGTGTAAATGTCTGATTATTTCACTTTATATTCCTCACATTAAAATTATTTTGCCGTTTGTCCTCTGTACCTCCATGGTGCTGATGACCGAAAGGAATCCCTTCTGGAAAATAAAAGAATAATTAAATTAGTAGCCTCAGGCCTTTGAAACCTTGCCTTTGCTATTCTAATTGCGGGCAGCAAAATTTTATCTTTCAATCCAATGGTATGCTTCCTCCACTTCATTAAAAATGAATCAAATTGAGAAAGAACTCAAGATTATCTAGTACTTCAGCCAACTTCAAGGTCACTGTTGTAGTGACATAAGCCTTACCTAATAACTCAAGCAGATGTTGCAACAAATGCCAATTCTGGGTATTAAGATAACCAAAGTCTCTTCTGTTGAGTGATGTCCAGGTGGTGATGGTGTCTGTTGAAAAATATTTATTCTGTTCGATAGTATGGTGAACTTCACTCTATTCCTCCCTGTTTATGGGTAACAAGTGGAAAGCTTTTGCAGCAATTGTGTGTTCTGGAGACAAGCACGTGGTGTCTGGTGACATTACAATGTGGGTTCATCATTGATTTCACCTCCACACAGATAGAAATGATGTCAGAGGTGGAAGAAGAGACTCAAGTCATTTTGAACCCTCAACTACTTTACTGGAAGGTTACACCTCTCCTTACCCAGACCCGAAGGAAAGCAGGACCTTCATCCCAGGGACCCCAGCTGAGACTGGGTCCTTTGGAGTTACTGATGTTACTGTTGGAGATTCCAACTCTAATGTCAATCACTCCTTATCAGGTAATTTGGCTATTTATTAGCTAGTTTGCTTTCTCTGTGTAGAGAAACAATACATACTTTCATGTTACAGAGGCCGTTTTCTGTGTAGTCTAGGATTGGACTAGCTTGTGATATGGAAATGTCTTTCATCATTGGTTATCAATTCTAGTGCAAATAAACTTGGATTTATTTTAGATAAAAGAATACTACCTTTTGCCAGTGTTTTTTCCATTTGTGTGTGTATGTGTGTGTGTTTGTGTATTATGTGTACAACTTGGCTGTTATGATGAAATTGCTTTCTTTGTCTTATCTTGTGATATATCAAGTTGAACCACATGAAACTGATATTTTTGCAGGTCAAAATAGTTGAATATTAGCAATTCCATTTACTTTGACTAATATATGCTGCTTATTTAGTAAAGTTTTATCCTACAGGTGAATCATTTCTATATACTAGTATCTTTGCTCTGAAATTATTATCTTGTTTCAGTGATTGATTGATTAGTTTTACTTTTGGTGATGGATAAACCTCTTCTAGCTTTGATGCATACTTAAAATCTTCTTGATTTAATCTAGTTTTAATGAATAGGGACCATTTCTCCTATTGTTATAGTAAAGCAAGGACTGAAGATAATTTATTCGGTTAAGTTTGACACGGACCTAGAATAAGTCTTTTTTTTCTCAAATAAGCAGTCTCTGCTTCTGCTCTTCTTTGCTTCTCCATTTGTGTTAAGAAATTAACACTGAAGAAAGGAGAACTTGCAAACGCCCACTGTAGTGAAGACATTAAAAACAGATTCTGCCTTCCTAGTACTAGTTTTTCAATTGCTTTTTAACACAATCACTAAGGCGTATTCAAGATTAGAGACTTTAGATATATACTTTTGGAGCAGAGATCTTCTCTCCCCACTCCCGAAAAAAGAAAAAGAAGAATAGATATTTTATGAGAGCCCAATAAGTAAAACAGGTGACAGTTGTGATCCAGGGACAGAAAATTCAGAATGTCACATGTGTGGCCTCATTTCTCTGGGTGGCCTACCCCAGAGCTTCAAGAAAAGCTAAGAAAATACCAACTTCAGCAATATTGGCAAGACAAAGCCCCTTACACACCTTAGTTCTTTATTCAGCATTGTTCTGCTCTCACTTATTAAAAATTCCAAGTACCACTGTCAATAGTCTTCAGTAAATCTTTTTTTTTTTTTTTTTTTTTTGGGAGACGGGGTTTCACTCATGTTACCCAGGCTGGAGTGCAACGGCGCGATCTCGGCTCACCGCAACCTCCGCCTCCTGGGTTCAGGCAATTCTCCTGCCTCAGCCTCCTGAGTAGCTGGGTTAACAGGCTCGCCCCACCCGCCCCGCCAATTTTTGTGTTTTATTAGAGCAAAGGGGGTTTCACCATGTTGACCAGGATGGTCTCGATCTCTTGACCTCGTGATCCACCCGCCTCGGCCTCCCAAAGTGCTGGGATTACAGGCTTGAGCCACCGCGCCCGGCCTAGTCTTCAGTAAATCTTACAGTGCTTCCTAATTTCTGTTGGCAAAAGAAAAGCCTGTTGTGCAACCTAATGAATTTAATTTTTTTTTTTTTTTTTTTTTTTTGAGACAGAGGGTTGCCCTGTCGCCCAGGCTGGAGTGCAGTGGCACGATCTCGGCTCTCTGCAATCTCTGCCTCCCGGATTCAAGTGATTCTCTTGCCCCAGCCTCCTGAGTAGCTGGATTACAGATGTGTGCCACCACGCCCAGCTAATTTTTGTTTTTTAGTAGAGCAAGGGTTTCAACATGTTGGCCAGGCTGGTCTGGAACTCCTGACCTAAAGAGATCCACCCACCTCAGCCTCCGAAAGTGCTGGGATTACAGGCATGAGCCAGCACACCCGGCCGTGAATTTAAATTTTAAATGACAATTTTAATAGTCACAGTACCCTAGAAAGCTTATAGCCTAATGTTAGTGAATAAATGCTTTCTACAAAACTAATATTCAGCTATTCACAGACACTGGTTCCTTCTGCTCTTCACAGTGGTACAGACAGATTTTCCACAATTCTCCATGGATTAGACAATTAAGTGACTCAATTCTCATTCATGGTTTTCTTCAAAAACACTCATGTAAATCTCATTTATACCTATACATTTTTCTCAGTCTTTATGCTTAATGTTAAGAACTAAAGCATTTGTTGAAGTGGCCGGATCACTTGGGGTCAGGAGTTTGAGACCAGCCTGGCCAACATGGTGAAACCCCATCTCTACTAAAAATACAAAAAATTAGTTGGACATGGTGGCGGGTACCTGTAGTCTTAGCTACTCAGGAGACTAAGGCATGAGAATCGCTCAAACCCAGGAGTTGGAGGTTGCAGTGAGTCGAGATGGAGCCACTGCACTCCAGCCTGGGAAACAGAGCAAGACCTTGCCTTAAAAAAAAAAAAAAAAAGAACTAAAGCATTTGGAATTGTGGTGGCAATGGTGGTGGTGGTGGTGGTGGTGATGGTGATGATAATGGGGTTTCGATGGTGATGGTGATTTGGTAGTGGGAGTATTGGTGTGGCATTTCGGCAAATGTTGTTTTCATTTATTTTAGCCATCAGCCAAGGAACAAAGCAATCTGTCTCTTCAATATAATTACACGAGTGACTATGTGTCACCCGCCTCCACTTTCTCTAATCAAGGAAATGGTGATGATTAGGTTACTATAGATTCCTTATAAGGTGCCTTCATAATGAATAACTGTAGCCATGTTATGTAAGCATTATCCTGTGATTAAAAAAAAGATTCCAGTATACTTTTGAAAAATGGGGGTGGGGAAGGAGTTTTATGGATTTAGATTTTAGCAATTCATGACCTTGTCTTAATCAAAAGCTTTCTGGTGATAATCCTTCCTTGAGCACTTAGGATTATATTAGCTAGTCATGTTGAAAACACAGATTCAACTTTTAAAAAATACTGTTTTAAACTTATATAATATCCATATTCCAATACACATTATTCATGTTAGCTACTATCTCACCATTTCCCTTTTTACTTATTTTCAATTTTTTTTCTGAAAATAAGTAGCTGACCTTTCTCTTTGAATCTTTCCATCATTCAATTCCAAGATTTCTTATTGCATACTAATTTCTTGCCTCCAAGGAAACTCATTGTTTCATGACCTAAACCAGAGTACGCCCATTTCCAGTGATTACATTTCTCATAATCAAATTCATATCATCCTTATTTAAAATATACAATGTCTAGTCTCAACCTTAGACCTGCAAAGATATTACAATATTTTTGTTAGCATGTTCCTTATCACAGTTCTTGGATTTCTACCAAAACCAAGTTTCTACAGAACTTCCTGTGGTCATCCTTCCGAGCCTTTGCTGCCCTAGTTTCCTTAATTCTGATTAAAGCTCTAGGTCATTTATCAGTGGATTAAGCAATGAACAGTAATTAATATTGTGGACCCATTCAAGGACGTTTGGCCATCATTTTTTGAAATACCTTAAAAAGACTAACTTTGTGATAGGCTGCATAAGAATACAAACGTAAGGAAATGCAGATGAGAGTATAAGTGGAAACCTGCAGTACTGACCTTCCTGATTGCTCATTACAGGAGACCAAGGTGCATTCGACCCCAGGGGGGACTCCCATACCACTCATGGATCTGAATCAGCTGGTGAGTTCAAAACGGCTTCAGTCATTTACTGTTATAATCCTTGAGCCTGATGATGACTACTAACGAAGTATGAGTCAGTGTCTCCAGAGAAGTAGTTCTCAAACCTTCTTACCATACATCACAATTACAGGGAGAGCTTATTAAATCACAATGTTGGACCCCACCCTTAAAGTTCCTGATTCAGTAGGTCTGGGGTGGAGCCCAAGCATTTGCATTTCTCATCAGTTCTCTGGTAATGCTGACACTGCTGGGACAGGGATTGCACTTTGAGAACTACTGCTCTGGAGAAAAGCCTTGCATCTGAAAGCCTCAGGTGGAATTCAGGCAGCGTCCCAATTTAACATTGCACTACACCAGAGTGATTTAAAAGCATGAGTTTTGTAGCAAAAATGGCCTCTGTTCGATTCCAGCCCTCTGCATTATTAACTGAGCAAGATGCTTAAAGGGTCTGAGACAAAATTTCTCAACTAATAAACTTGGATTAATAAGAATTGTCATAGGACACTGTTTCAAAGGCTAAATGGTAGAATAAATATAAAGCATTTAGCGTAATCCTGGTACATGATATCATTGCTGGTATTTGTTGGGAATTGACTGTGTGCCAGCAGCATCTTTCTCAACACTTTACCTATATTAGGTTGGGCCAAATGGAACTGCCATTACTATGGGTCAGGAACAGGTCAATATCAGGAAATTCATAGAGTTTATCTAGTATTAAATCATTCAGTCATCCTACAAACTCTGTGATGACATCGGTGAGTACTATTATTATTCCCATGTTACAGATGAGGAAACTAAGGCTCAGAGAGGGTAAGTAACTTGGCAGAGTTGACAGGACCAGGGAGTAATGGAGCCACATTTCAAGCCTGGGGGTCTCATGTTACTTCTCATAGCAGTCTGGAGAAGGCATTCTATAATGACCATAATTACTGACAGGCATGCATTTGTTTTGTTTTGTTTTTGTTTTTGTTTTTTTGAGATGGAATCTCGCTCTGTCTCCCAGCCTGGATGGAATGCAGTGGCGTGATCTTGGCTCACTGCAACCTCTGCCTCCGAGGTTCAAGTGATTCTCCTGCCTCAGCCTCCCAAATAGCTGGGATTATAGGTGTTCACCACCATGCTGGACTAATTTTTGTATTTTTAGTAGAGATGGGGTTTCATCATGGTGGCCAGGCTGGTTTTGAACTCCTGACCTTAAATGATCCACCCACCTTGGCCTCCCAAAGTGCTGGGATTACAGGCATGAGCTATGACACCCGACCGAGGCATGCATTCTTAAATAGACTCCTGTTTGTTGTGATTCCGATCACACCCCTGAAAACCTTACCCCAGACTGCAAAAGTCTGACATGAGGTAGATTTACTAATGACTTCTACTACTGGCCTACTGGGAGGTGCTGCCAGTACTGCCTTACTGTGGTCCCCTTGAGCATCACAAATCCAGGTGACCCGCATGTAAATGGTTTAAGCCATATCAATTACTGTCCTCCCTTTTTATACCCAAGTTTGAGTGAGGCTCACAATCAGGTTTAAATGTTTACACATTGAAAACAAATAGGAAGATGGATAGTTACGTAATGGCTTCCATAATAACCCTCTATGGAGGAGCACTAGAAGGTAGAGGTTCATTAGAAATGCCTCTGAAATAGAGACAAAAGTCACAGGTTCACTGGGGACCTTAGGCAGGGCACTTAACCTTTCCTAGACTCAGTTTCCTTGTTAGTAAAAAGGAGATCAGATCACCTACCTCAGTTGCTTCCTAGAGTTCTTGTGAGGAAGACAGGGTACCAGAATTGTGAAAGTACTCTGCAACAGTAGGGAGTTATTATTAAAGGGTATGCTCTCTAAACCAAGAGACCTCAGCCACTCTCTGAGTGTGGTTCTTTAACCATTAGCATGGACATCACCTAGGAACTTGTTGGAAATGCAGAATCCCTGGCCAACCCAGACCTACTGAATCAGGATCTGCATTTTAACGATAGCCTCCCACCCAGGTGGTTTATATGCACATTAAAGTTTGGAAGCTTAGACTATGCTAGACTGCTTTTCTCACCATTGAAGACAATTGAATGGATCTCTATGCACATGTCTCGGATTACATCTCATCTCCCAACAGGAATATCAAGTGCTTCTCGTTGTGGAACTTGCTATTGTGGCCAGTCCTACCCTGGCTGGATTTGTAGACATCTAGAGCACAAGGCAAGGCCTGCTGTCTCACATCCATCCTCTGTGGCTTTTGCTTGAAGTGAGAATCAGGTGGACGGGAGCCAGTCTCTTTTGTTTGGCTTCTGAGCAGGTGTCTATTGTTCAAACAGGAGGTTTCGTCTTGTTGCACATACACCCAGATCTTTTCTTGCTGGGAGCACTTTTTTTTTTTTTTTGAAAATCAAAATAAAGAGATTAGGATCCATTAATGGCCTCACTTTTAAATATCAAAAGCTTCTGTGAGTCAGAAAAAAAACCAGTGAGAGTGACTGTACCTCCTGGGGAGTTTTCAAGGCCAAAGATTTTCAGTTTAGGTGGCCAATGTCCCATGACTTGGGCAGGTGAAAACCTGCCAACCACCAAGGACACTGGAAGGCATGTCGGGAAAGGACATTGGACTGTTTTGGAGGTTTGTAAAGTAAAAGGCCATTGTCAACATAGGATGGGGGGTGTTGAAACCGCCAGATGTCTGGTAGGAACTTGCTTTGCTCCCTTTTAAGTTTTAACAAAAGCATTAAATTGCATAAACAAGAGCCATCCTGTCCCCAAATAACCATTGTGATCAAGATTTCCGTGTGCACAGTCTAAAGTTTGACTCTGAGGAAAGCTCTCATTTAAGGCCCCACTATCTTCACCCATTGGTCATCTTCAGGATTCTACAGTGGGCTTCCATTTGGTAGGGGAAAAAAAGTTCATTTTGGTGGGACACTGTGGAATTTTGTTTTGAAGCAATGGAGGAAGAATGTTTTAAAATCCATGAAGCTTTAATTTTGATGAGTCTTTCCACAAGATGTCTTAGAAGTTTCTTTTTTAAAAAAGTTTGTGTACTTACTTATTTATTCTTATTTTTAATAGGGACAGGATCTCCCTGTATTGCCTAGGCTGGTTTCAAACTCCTGGGCTCAAGCGATCCTCTTGTTTCAGCCTCCCAAAGTGCTGGGATTATAGGCATGAGCCTCTGTGCCCGGCTTCTTATAAGTTTCTTTTAGAAGCATTGTGTCTCACTCATTTGGATCGGCCTCCAGTTCTGACTTGAGGATTGTCTGTCATGTGATACTTCCTCCCAGTTTGAGGCATTTTGTTCATTTCCTCATTTTGCTTTCTAGCAGTAGAAAATGTTGATTCTTCTAACAAGGTGCGTTTCAGTAACATATTAGCAGGGACTCTAATAGGGTGATTTTTCACAGTCAGAAAGGGCCACTGCCCCCAAACTCTTTATATTTTAGTGTTTATGTTGGCTCCTATGATGCTATTGGATGGGATTTTCAGGTTCCCTTTGGGCTTCCTGGAGCATGTGAATCCCCTGGGGGTCTTGTTAAAATGAAGATTCTTATTTGGTAGCTTTGGGGTGAGGTGGAAGATTCTGCATTTCTAATAGTCTCCCCAGACATGCCTGTGCTGATGGTCCAGGGACCACACTTTGAGTAGCAAGGTCCTAAATTAAAAATAGAAAATAACAACCACACACAACTACCAATACTGTGTACTTCCTGAAACCTCTGTAAAATTGTGATGAACGGGATTCTATTATCCCCATCTTACGAGTGTGAAAATGGAGACTTGGAGAAGGTAAATTGACCCAGCACATATGGCTAGTTAGCAACGGACAGCAAGAAGACTGAAATCCAGGGTTGCCAGCTCTAGACCCCAAAGCCTGAACACTGTCAACAGTGCTGCTGAGCATTCTCATGTTCCTTGATACAGGATAACGTTACCAAGCCTTAGCCTTAATCAAACTTAGCCTTAATCAAACTGAGTAATATATTACTTTTGTGTAATGCTTTATAAACGTCTGCAGCTTGAATCCATAAATGGCTTCTCAGTGATTCAGAATGTGGAGAGCAGCCCTTTTCGTGGCTCCACAAGGAACTCAGAGTTATGCATTTCAAACTTTGGTTGAGAGATTTTGTTTTGTTTTGCTTTTCCCTTAGGACATTCACATGGGAGTCAAGAAGGTGGGGCAAACACAACCTCCGGTCCTTTAAGGACACCCCAAATTCCAGGTGAGTTTCAAACTGTGAGGCAGAAAAAAAACGCTGAAAGCAACTTTCTCAGAATGTCCCAGCAAGGAAGAAGAGACCCGTTTGAAAGCACGTTCTCCACAATGCCCAACGTATGAATCCAATTGTTCCTCTTCACAAGTTAAAGGATGAGTGAGAGTACTACAGCCTATTGGTAGGAAAAGATAGAATAGTCTTTTCCTGGGTTCTGCAGACTAGCTGAGCTCCTATGCAGCTCTGTCCCTGGCCTGTCCCAGAGAAGTGCCATGTTAGTTACGAAAGCTTTCTTCCCAAATGAATGATCACCCAGAGGACCCCATGTCATACTTAGGTCCTTTTTATACCAATCCAATTTCCCCTTATTTCTGGGGTCCAAGGTGAAGCATGTACTTTTCCTCTTACAGTTGCAGACAGGGAGGGGCTACAAGAGGCATTTATATCAGATGAAGTGAAAACTTTCTTTTGGTTCCCCAGCTACATTTTTTTTTTTGTCGAGGAACTGCCTGCTGATGTGGACAGAATAAACTTTTCAGAAAGGGTGACATGTGCAGTGAGGAGGCTGGGACACCTGGTTCTCCTAAGCATCAAGACAAGGCATTTGTTGCAAATTCTTTATTTGGCTTGGAATCAAAATTGATTTGTCATGGAGAATTACTAAAGGGAGGGGTTCTCCTAAGGTTGTAAATTACCCTTTTAATTCCCTCCTCTTCAGAGGTCTCCAAACTGAGCCTCCCTTGGGGAAAGAGAAGAACGTGGCATACACCTTTCTCCTTTGCCCCAGCTTGCCTAAGCATACCTGAAGACAGAGCAGAGAGAGAGGGGTGGGCTGCCCCGGAGGAGGGAGAGGGGAAGCCTTAGCTGTCATCAGGCAGCAAGATTCTTCCCAGCTCCAGTGACAGTGCAGGTGGGCCATCTCAGGGCTGGAGACCAGGGCCACGGTGGGCAGGAGTAGAGAGGAAGAACAGAAATGGTGCCCTCTTGTCAGTCTCCCCACCTTCTGGCTCTACCTCCCTCTCCAAATTCATCTAAACCAGAAAAAGGTGAGGTGAAAGTATGCAGAGCAGGAACTCAGAGGTAAACCAAGGTTTTCAAGAAGAAAACAGATAATGAGACTTTCCATGTCTCTTCTTTCTCAAGCCCTGGTTCATTGCACACATATACAACCCACTTTGCAACTGAATTTAGTAGAGCTGTCAAGTCATATTTTAGTCCAATGAGAGCCTGATTTCAAAATGTGCAGAATATTAACCCACAAGTGATACATAATTGCTGAAGACATTTGAAAAAATACAACTAAATAAAATAATGAATATATAAATCACTTATTACCTTTCTCACCATCCAGAAATACCATGATTACTATTTTAATATACATCTTTCCCGCCATTTAAAAATGTAAAATATATACCAAAACATGATTACACCTTACACAGTGTTTAGTAGACATTGCCTACTGGTTAACCGTGGCTTCCATATCATTGAATATTTCCTCCTCATATTGTAGTGCATAATGCAATAGAGGTGCCCTAATTTATTTAACCAATCCTTTGTTGTCTCCGTTTTTGTTTTTTAACACAATGTAAGGTGGATTCTCTTATACAGGAAAAAAATGTTCCTTTCAAAAGAAGCATACATTTCTTTTTATCTGTTTAATAATATTATACCAAAGGCATCTACAAGATTCAACAAGTTATCCTGTAGTTTTTTAGAAACATAGTTCTCCTGGAGGGATTTGAAAATCCTGACTGATGATAAAAGATTAAATCAAGGAGCCGGGCGCGGTGGCTCACGCCTATAATCCCACCACTTTGGGAGGCTGAGGCGGGTGGATGGCTTGAGGTCAGGAGTTTGAGACCAGCCTGGCCAACATAATAAAACCCTATCTCTACTAAAAATACAAAAAATTAGCTGGGCGTGGTGGCAGATGCCAGTAATCCCAGCTACTCGGGAGGCTAAGGCAGGAGAATCACTTAAACCTGGGATGTGGAGGTTGCAGTGAGCCAAGATTGTGCCATTGCACTCCAGCCTGGGCAACAAAACTCTATATTAAAAACAAAAATTAAAGCAAGAAGGCTATTGGACAAATACTTACAACAAATTGTTCTTCCAGAATTACTTGCCTACTGGCTAGACCCTCCTGCAGTGCTGACTATGGTGCTTGTTTGACCTAGGTCAATTATAAAGTGCATTTTTGTTTTTACAAACTGTGTCTCTGAAGCTTACACATGTCTTTTAATTTACTCACACCAGAATGGCTGATCATCTTGGCATCCCTCTTGGCCTTGGCTTTGATTCTTGCAGTTTGCATTGCAGTCAACAGTCGAAGAAGGTAAGGGGCTGTCCTGGGGGGCCTTCAACTTGCAAAAGGCATCATTTAAATTTGGGCTTTATATCCTTGCTGCTTAGAGTGTAGTCCCTGCAACCAGTAGCCTGGGCACCCTGGGGGTTTGTTGGAAATGCAGAACCTCAGACCCAAGCCCAGACCTCCTATAGCAGAGTCTGCATCCTAACGAGATTCTGGGGATTCATGTGCATGGCAAAGCATAAGACATCTTTCTCTGCCCCAGAGTTTAGAGAATGGAGACACCTGTGATGTTCGGATCATCATTTTTAAGTAGTGGTTGAATCCTTTATGATTTTACATATTTTTAAGGTTAAACCTCATGCAGACTCTATCTGATGAAAGTTATGAAATATCTCACCAGGAAGGCACATAAAAGTGTATACTCATTCATTGATTTGTTAACTACTTATTAAATACATTCACAATGCACAAATATTGCATAAGGATTCAGTGATTCTTCATCCCCTATAGCCTCTCTGAGGCCCAGGGAACCTTTAAGAACCCATCCCAGAAGCAGGCTCTGGCTTGTGCTCTTGTTTGTGTTTTGTAATGATATGTCTTTCTATTTTATGGAAACCATAGTTGAAGAGATTCAGGTTATAGTACAGGAAGAGTGATGTTTCATAGGCCTCCTTGCTGTTAAGAGGTCTATCAAACAGAGAACTTTTTTAAGGAAAGCCTAAATGAAGAAGTCACCTCCCTAGAACTGACATGTGGGCTGTTTTTATATTCTTGAAGGCCACTCTGTCTCCCTACCTGAACCAAGACCTATAAGTTTGGAAGTTATTTACATTATATATATATATATATATATATATATATATACACACATGGTTAAGACTTGAACAGGTTCTAGAAATAATGCTACCTAAAGTGAAGTATAAAACAGTATTAATTCTAGCAACAGAGGAAATGAACTTTAACTGGGGCACTCCAAAAGTGTAAATCTAAATTTGTTACCCAAGACACTTTAAAGATACAGTATGTTTCTTCAGGACATAATTCATAGGAATATTAAACCTTTTGTAAATGTCCCTATAGGTAGTTTCTTGTAAGGTGAAAGAATCTGTATTTCCAAGCAAGGTCACCTTTATTGTACCCCCAGATCACCTCACAGGGTGAGAAAATGACCCTCAGCCTGGGGGAAGACCTAGAGAGAATTATGGACTCCTTCTTACCGGTTTTTGGAAGGCAACCAACAGCTAATTCCAGCACCATGGGCAGCCCATACAGCCTCTAATTATCTGAGAAAACCGAATGGCGCTGTTATAATTGTTATAATAATTACACTGGTACAAGTTAATAAAACTGCCATATAACAGTCAAATAGCTATGTTGCTATCTATACCATTGACAGCATGATTTTTAAAAGTAGTTATGATAGCTGACGGTATGAGGAATAAAACTGAGAGGAAAAGAGTCTAAAAGGCCTCCTATGATTAAACGGAAAGACATTTTTTAGTTGAATTTAAATAATGTGATTTGGGGGAGCCTTTACAAAGAGTCTTTATACTTCCCTTCAGCTTCCTTGTTTTCCCTTGGATTACTTTTGCTCAATTAAATATGAATTTTCTATTGTTTGCAATCAGCCCTTTATTGCCAAGCCCTAGAATGCACCACTTTTGTTCACATACAAAGTCCATAAGCTTTGCACATGTCACCATAGAAACACTGGCACGGATGCTGTCGACATTTAGGGAAACCTACATGGGAGAGACCTCGGGAGAAGCATCTCAGCTGTCCCCAAGAGCAGCTGGAGTCAACACACTGGGGCTGGGTATCTCCCACATTGCCTGTGTCTTGTCAGCAGCAGACAGCAGAGAAGGAGCCTCACTGCTGCCCTCTCCCTCCTCCCAAGACCAGCCGTCACCCTGGCAACCGGCAAACAGGGACACACAGGGTCCTGCACAGCGAGTATCTCACCGGGAAAGTAGCTGCTTGGACGCCATAAATTACTGTGTCCTGATTTGATAATTGAAAACAGATTTGCCACACAGCTAAAGGGTGGTTAACAGCTGCACAGGCCCCTTAATGGGCCCTGTGATTCTAAAGCTGTCAACCCATTTCTAATCCCCTTCAAAGGCTGAGGCTTTTCTGCTTTGACTGTCACATTTAAGAGAGAGAGATACAGAATCCTATTTTCATCAAAGAAAGGCTGGTTGAAAATGGGGCCTCCAATGGGTGCTCAATATTCAGCAAACATCTTTTGAGTGACTCTGTGACTATCAATCCTGGCAAGGAGAAAGAGAAGATAAAAAACGAAAGGAGTAAAAAAAATTAAAAAAAAAAACGAAAGGAGTATCACCCCTTTTCTAAAAGAATTTTGAGGTTCAGTGACAGTATTGGCCTCTTGAATTTGAATTGGCTAGTATTTATTGAGAACATTCCCTGTGCCAGGCACTGTTACATAGATTATGGTTAAAAGACAAAAGTAGAAAATCATTAGTCTCTGAAGTTGACATACAAGGATGGACCCAGCGGCTTCCATGATGAAGTGATCTGTGAGTCACGTTGTCTTAAAGATGCTGGCTTGTGGGTTCTATTACTTTTTTAGCTTTCTCCACCCCTGCCGTCATCCACAACGGCTTTCCTTGCTGTTCCTCATGTCACCTGACTCCTTGAATTACAGCTCTCCAAGGGAAATCATACTTTATTCCCTCTCTATGAGAGCACATAATTATTTTAGGAGTCAGTTGGGTTGATAGATACTGGATGAGCCTCCAGAGAAGATTTCCTGTAAAGACTCTATTTGGGCCAGGTGCAGTGGCTCAAGCCTGTCATCCTAGCACTTTGGGAAGCTGAGGCGGGTGGATTACTTGAGCCCAGGAGTTCAAGACCAGCCTGGGCAACATGGTGAAACCCTGTCTCCACAAAAAAATACAAAAATTAGCCAGGCATAATGGCGCATGCCTGTGGTCTCAGCCACTTGGGAGGTTGAGGTGGGAGAATCACTTGAAACCCAGGAGGTGGAGGCAGCAGTGAGCCACAATAGTGCCACTACAGTCTGGGCAACAGAGTGAGACTCTTGTCTCAAACAAACAAACACCTACTGGATTTGTCTGAAGAGGAGAAAAAACAGGACTTTACTATGCTGCTTGTGCAGAACAGGTGTTCACCAGCCTTTACTTTGATGGGAATAATCATCTTTTCTATAAACCCCAGCAGGCGGTCACCTGTACTCCGCTCAGTAGGTCTCCTCTATGTATCACCATAATTTAGAAATGTTTTCCTTCTCTCTCTTTTTTCTTTTTTTCTTTTTTTTTTTTTTGAGATGGAGTCTCCCTCTGTCACCCAGGCTGGAATGCAGTGGCGCTATCTCGGCTCACTGCAATCTCCACCTCCCAGGTTTAAGCGATTCTTCTGCCTCAGCCTCTCATGTAGCTGGGGCTACAGGCACACTCCGCCATGCCCAGATGGGTTTCACCATATTGACCAGGCTGGTCTTGAACTCTTGACCTCATGATCCACCCGCCTCAGCTTCCCAAAGTGCTAGGATAACAGATGTGAGCCACCGCACCTGGCCAATGTTTTCCTTCTCTTATGCTATAGTCTAGCTCCCTGTAATCTGACCTCACCCAACTTCATCCTGCTGTCTAGAACAGTGCTATCCAATAGAACTTTCTGTGATTATGGAAATGTTCTATATCTGCACTGTCCAATATATAACTACTAGTCACTTGTGGCTACTGAGCACTTGAACTGTGGCTAGTTCAACTGAAGAAGTGAATTTTTAATTTTATTTACTTGTAATTAGTTTAAATTCAAATAGCCACATGTGGCTAGTGGCTACTATATTGGATGGCATAGCTCTAAAACAGTGCAAAATAAATCCCTAAATATCTTTAAGGATTGTCAGGTAGAAGAGCCATGAGATCAGTTGCTAAGCTACCCACCTAAATCGTTTGAGATAAATTCTGCCATGCCATAAAAATTACATTACCTGGTTTCTAAACCCCAGCCAGCCTGCCCTTCCTTTCCTGGTGAGGTCCCAGTCTGCCTCCTTCCACACTGTGTGCTCAGCTAATGCCTGAGATTTAAGGGAAGAGGAGATAAAGGTAAGACACAGGTCCATGAGGATCTCTGATCTTCAGAGTCAGAAAATCCAAGCTGTGGCTGGCCGTGATGTCTCACACCTGTAAACCCAGCACTTTGGGAGGCCGAGGTGGGCAAATCATTTGAGGTCAGGAGTTTGAGACCATCCTGGCTAACATGGTGAAACCCTGTCTCTACTAAAAATACAAAAATTAGCCAGGTGTGGTGGCACACACCTGTAATCCCAGCTACTTGGGAGGCTGAGGCAGGAGAATTGCTTGAACCTAGGAGGTGGAGGTTGTAGTGAGCCGCGATGGCACCATTGTACCCTAGCCTGGGTGACAGAGCAAGGCTTTGTCTCAAAAAAACAAACAACAACAACAACAAAAACCCAGAAAATCCAAGCTGTGATTCTGGAAGTACCATAACTAGCTGTGAGGCTTTGGACAATACCCTTGACTTCTTGGACTTGGTGTTCAGTTTACATAAAGAAGAAGCTGGGCTGGATGATCTCTGAAGCCCCTTCAGGTCTAGTGTTCCTTCTTAAATTCCTATAGCTAAGAAGAATTTAAAAATTAGAATTTCTTTTAAAAGTACTTATTAGATGCCTAGAGCACTGAATATTGGAATGAGTTATTTATGAGAATCATCCTACCCTCCTGAAAGAACTCAGGCAGATAGAAACACATAAATCCAAAGGGAAATGCAGGCCAGCCAAAACTCAAGCACAATATTCCTGTGTTCAGTAGGTCAAACATTATTCACTGTCAAGATCAGTTTCGTTTAGATGAACAACATTAATCCCCACCCACTCCCATGCACATTTTTTTAATGCTCATAAATCATTTTCCCACAATTTTTCATTACATCCCTCAACCACCCATTGGATAGGCAAATGGAAATTACTTTAACTAGACAGCTTTCCTCCAAAGAACACAGGGACATGAGAATTTGAAATAATACAAGCAGCATTCTACTTTAGCCTTTTAAATCCTCTTCATAGTAAATATAACGAGGTAGGTGGAGGCAGCCAGGAGAAACATGCAAAATTAATTTCGTAAGGCTTTTGTTATATTAGCAATCATAGACAGCACTCCTGAAAGCTTACTGTGCTCCAGATGCTATTCTAAGTGCTTATTCCAAACCTTAGTTTCCTTACCCCACATCATTCATAAGAGCAAGGATAATAGCAATAATAGACTCATTTATTTAGTGACATGCTCTGTTTCAAGGGCTTTTCACGATCCTATGATATTGCTACGCTTAATAACCTGATATTATTGATGCAAAACTGAGGCTAGAGAGATAAGTGAGTTGCCCCAGATCACACAGCAGTAAGGTCTCAAAACCAGGCCTTCCAAGCCCCTTTCTCCTTCTTTGTTTTTTTGAGACGGAGTCATGCTGTGTCACCCAATCTAGAGTGCAGTAGTACAATCTCAGCTCACTGCAACCTCTGCCTCCCAGGTTCAAGCAATTCTCCTGCCTCAGTCTCCTGAGTAGTTGGACTTATAGGCATGTGCCAACATGCCCCCATGCCCTGATGATTTTTGAATTTTTGTAGTAGAGGCGAGGTTTCACCATGTTGGCCAGGTGGTCTCAAACTTCTGACCTCAAGTGATCTGCATGCCTCGGCCTCCCGAAATGCTGGGATTACAGGTGTGAGCCTCTTTTTCTTTTTTGAAACAGGGTCTCATTCTGTCACCCAGGCTGGAGTGCAGTGGCACAAACACAGCTCACTGCGGCCTCAACCTTCTGGACTCAAGTAATCCTCCCACCTTAGCCTTCCAAGTAGCTGGGACTACAGGCACATAATGCCACACCTGTCTTATTTTTTATTTTGAGTAGAGACTGGGTTTTCCATGTTGGGCTTATCACAATCTCCTGGGCTCAAGTGATCCACCCACCATGACCTCCCAAAGTGCTGGGACTACTGGCATTAGCCAGTACACCAGGCCTCCAAGGCCCTTTTCTTGACCATGCATCCTGCTGGACTCCATCTGTATTCCCGGTCCCTAAGAATCTGTTTCACGGTTCAAGCATCCTTCCCCCAACCCCTCATTAAACCTCCTGCCAGAGGAGACAGAATCTACCTCCTGTTGAAGAGGTATAATTTCTATTTCCCCAAACAAGAGATTAAAGTTTATGGCCTTGGCAGTCCTGCAGGGAATGGTCCATGATCATGAATAATAGAGGCTTTCTCACTATTACTCCAAATATCCAGAGGCAAAGTGAACAATTCTGAGTTCATACTGTTTCCAAATCTCCAGATGGCTGGCAGCATTGACAGAGCCAGGCAGAGCCCAGACTTTGGTCATAAAGGCCTGAATTTGAATATCAGCTCTGTCATTCTTACTCCCTATGTGAACTCGAGCAAGTTATTAAACCCCTTTTGGCCTCAGTTGCCACTGCTGTATTATGGGAACAATAGCTGCTTTGAAAGATTCTTGTAACAATTACAGAAAATTACAAGTAAAGCATCTGGCATTCAGAAGGTAATCTGCTTCCCTTCATCGCCATTTTGCTTGTAGTTGTGAAGCTGTGCAACTTTGCTTCCTCTAAGCATAGTCTGACTCGTGTATGTGTAGTAGTGATGTGAGACAGGAAAGAGGAAGCCTTGCATCAGGCTGGGCGGGGTGAAGCAATGGACAGTAACCAGGGAAAAGGTCAAGGTCATGCTATTCCATAGCAACTTTCTTTTGCATTTGAATCTTAAGTAATGTTTAAGAAACCTTAAAGTAATGAGGGTAATTTGTCCTGTTATTAAACTTCCTATATCAGGGTTGTATGAGAGTTAAGCAAAGTTAGGAAAACATCACCATGGCCTTATACTTCTAGAAAAATGTTGTTTTATTCTGCCCGGTACATTCAGTGATAACACTGACAAGGCTGACAAAGTGTTGACCGGGAGAGGAAGTCATGGGACTTTCTTGAATATACAAATCAGAATGATTTACAATCATCATGTTGATGGTTTATCTAAATCTGCAGAAACTGCTAAAATGCTTAAAAGAGACAAACATTTCCATTATAAAGTATGATGGAAGGAGAATCAGAACTTGAGAGTCAGACAGACCAGGGTTTGAATCCTCTTTTCTTACTTGTTGAGTTACTTGGGAGAAGTTAGTGAATTTTCTGACCCCCAAGGTTTCTTCAGTTGTAGTGGGGGATAGTAACAACACCAACTTCCTGGAGTTGTAGTTGCTGATTTGCAAACTTGACTGTGCAAACCATAGATCCTAGGCTGTAACCCTAAAGTTTCTGATTCAATAGGTTTGGGGTGGGGCTGAGAATTTGTATTTCTAACAGGTTCCAAGATGATGCTCTTGCTGCTGGTCCAGGGACCTCACTTTGAGAAGTGCTGGCTGTTAAGAGTTAGTAAGTTAAAGTAGAGAAGACACCTAGCACAGTACTTGGCACACACTAAGACCATCATAAGCCACAGTGATCATCACAATGGTGCTCAATAATGATGATAATCTGGTGCACTCTTTCTCATATGATACATTTTTTTTTTAACATTATTAGGTGTGGGCAGAAGAAAAAGCTGGTGATCAACAATGGCAATGGAGCTGTGGAGGACAGAAAGTCAAGTGGACTCAATGGAGAGGCCAGCAAGTCTCAGGAAATGGTGCATTTGGTGAACAAGGAGTCCTCAGAAACTCCAGACCAGTTTATGACAGCTGATGAGACGAGGAACCTGCAGAATGTGGACATGAAGATTGGGGTGTAACACCTACGCCATTATCTTGGAAAGAAACAACCGTTGGAAACATAACCATTACAGGGAGCTGGGACACTTAACAGATGCAATGTGCTACTGATTGTTTCATTGGGAATTTTTTTTTTAGCATAAAATTTTCTACTCCTTATTGTTTTTTTGTGTTTTGTTCTTTAAAGTCAGGTCCAATTTTTGAAAACAGCATTGCTTTCTGAAATTAGGGTCCAATTAATAATCAGCAAGAATTTGACCGTTCCAGTTCCCACATGGAGGCCTTTCATTTCTTGGGTGTGCTATGGATGGCTTCTAACACAAGCCACACGTACGTAGTCCTGATCCCCAACCTTTCCCCCATCAGCTAAGGACATTCCCCATGGCTAAGAGGGCCTGGTCCCTGGAAGGAAATTTGAATGGGTCCATTTTGCCCTTCTAGCAGCCCAATCCCTGGGCATTGCTTTACAGTGAGGTAGGGGGGTGGGATGTACTGGTTACACATCTGCTTAAACAGACCCTCCTGGAAATTTTTCAGATGCTTTTGGGAGACACCCAAAGGGTGAAGCTATTTATCTGTAGTAAACTATTTATCTGTGTTTTTGAAATATTAAACCCTGGAGGTCCTTTGATCAGTATAATTTTTTAAAGTTACTTTGTCAGAAGCACAAAAGGGTTAAAACTGATTCATAATAAACATCTGTACTTCTTCCATCTTAATCTTTTGTGCTGTGTTCCTTCAGTTTCTAACCAGCACTGTCTGGGTCTCTACTACTTATTAGGAAGAGCTGAGAATGGTAAAGACGATTCTTTTGAAATCTTTATCTCAGAGACCCTGAGTTCCCACTCAGACCTACTCAGCCAAATCTCATGGAAGATCAAGGAAGGCAGCACTGTTTTGTTTCTGACGCTGTCCAAAGGTTTTCTATCCTGTCTTGGAATCAGAATTGTAAGCTGAGGAGCTTCAGCCTCTTTTATGGTTTAATGGCCATCTGTTTTCTCCTGCAAAGTCACATTAAGTTTGCATGTCCTGGGGCCCTATGTCATAGATGCTGGCCCTATTAGTGATTTCCAAAAGCAATATGGAAGTGCCTTTCAATGTCTTATAATAAGATGAGGAGCCAGTGGAAATGAAAGAGATTGGCAAGGGGAGAAGAGGATGCAGTGTAGATCCTGTTTGACATTTTTATGGCTGTATTTGTAAATAACACACGAGTGTCTGTTCTTGATGCAGTTGCTATTTAGGAGGAGTTAAGTGCCTGGGGAGTCCCTCGAAAGGTTACAAGGATTCCCATCATTGGAATCTTATCACCAGATAGGCAAGTTTATGACCAAACAAGAGAGTCCTGGCTTTATCCTCTAACCCCATATTTTCTCCCACTTTGCAAGTCCATTGTGGCATTTATTCATCCATCGGGGTGTCCGATTGGTCCTAGAACTTCCAAAGCCTGCTTGTAATAGAAGCCATTGCATCTATAAAGCAAGGATCCTATTAAATAGTATCTTCTTTCTCAGGCCCCCACAAAAAGTCATTTGTTACCTAAACTTATATGCTTAACAGGCAATGCTTCTCAGACCACAAAGCAGAAAGAAAAGCTCCCAAGTAAATCAGGGCTGCGCTTAGACAGAAGAATATCTTTAAAGGAGAGATACCAACTTCCTGCACTATTCCCAGCCTCTGCTCCTCCTCCTCTGTCTACCCTCTTCACCCGCCCCCCTTCGTTTCACCCCATAATCTTGAAAAACTTCCTTTCTCTCCTATGAACATCACTGACCAGTTCCATATTCAGTGGTCTGGCTTTCTTCTTATTTTCTTTTCAACTTGAAAGAAACTGGACATTAAGCCACTATGTGTTGTTACTGCCACTAGTGTTCAAGTGCCCCTTGTTTTCCCAGAGATTTCCTGGGTCTGCCAGAGGCCCAGACAGACTCACTCAAGCTCTTTAACCGAAATGCAGCAAGCCACTCTGGGACAAGGTTCAGAATGCTTACACCAGCCTCTACCTGTCCCCCTGGGAGACAGGGATAGTGACACAAATGTCATAGCCACCCCTTCTAGACATTCCCAACAAATAGGCTGAGACAGGAGTCCCAGCCTATTTTGTAGTCCCACACTTGGATATACCTCTGTTTTTCAGATAGAAATAAGGGAGTTCTAGAGCTTCTATTCCTTGGCCACTGTCAATGGAGAGCTTCCCAAGTCTTTGCAAACCCTCGCAACATTTCCTGAAGTTTATGGAATAAGATGTGTTCTCACTCCCTTGACCTCAAGGGCATAACTGTGGAAGCACAGCTTGACTACGTGTCATTTTCACCAATGATTTTCCAGGTGAACTGGGCTAAGTCATTAAACTGGGTCTCGTTTATAACAGTTAGAGGCCAACATTTAGTTATTTGCAAAGCAACCTAAGAGCTTAAGATGTAATTTTTCCTGCAATTGTAAATCTTTTATGTCTCCTGAGGGCTTCCCTTAGCTCTGAGTGCAAAATTGAATGAGACAAAAGACACCTTCAAGTCCATATTTCAAGCCTGGTAGAACTGGCTTTTCTAGCAGAACCTTTCAAAAAGTTTTACATTGAGATTCATAACAAGACCAAGAATCGATTTTGTAGCCAACATTCATTCAATACTGTTACATCAGAGGAATAGGCAAGAGGAAACGTTTGACTTCTCTGGAAACGCAAAATGTACTTAAGAACAAGAATAACATGGTCAATTCACCTTTATGTCATAGGTATGCCTTTGTGTAAATCATTTGCTTTGAGTTTTCAAAGAATAGCTCATTGTTCATTCTCGTACTGTACAATGACCACTGTTATTGCTACTTTGACTTTTCAGAGCACACCCTTCCTCTGGTTTTTGTATATTTATTGATGGATCAATAATAATGAGGAAAGCATGATATGTATATTGCTGAGTTGAAAGCACTTATTGGAAAATATTAAAAGGCTAACATTAAAAGACTAATGGAAATGGACTCAGAGGTCTCTAATTTAAAAGAATGGGAGGCTGAGAGGGACAGAACTTTGCTTATCTGACACTGTCTGCAATTTACAGGAATAAAGTCAAAGGTATCTGAGATGGCTGGAGCCTCATACTCATTTTTTAAAAAAGCAAAAATGACATGGGTTTCTTTCCATCAACTTGAAAGTCTTCGATTTTCTATGAGTAATGTGTGGTTCATGTTTTTCAAACTAAATGAGATACAATGAAGTGTTAGTTCTTTTAAAGCCAAGAACTACTCCTGGACTTCTAGTTAAAGAGAGGAGAGTGTACATACCTTCATTCCCTCATGTAAGCCTCTAAAAAGAAAATAAAGAGATATCTCCAAACGGAATCAACCAATGGAGTTGAGGTGATTGAAAGAAGAAAGAGCAACAAAAATTTGAAGCTGAAAAGTGATAGCTGATTAGTAACTGAATGAAAAAATCCGGAAAAGCTGACTCCTAAGCCTGCAGTGTGGAAAACTGAGAGACAATCAGATTTATGTGACAGAACCATCAAAAGGCTCAGTAGCTATTCGGGAAATGAAGGAGAAGTTGAAGCTAAGATTAGGACAAGCTTAAAGTCTATGTAAGAAGCAGTTAGAACTCCAGGCCCCCTTCCTTACTCTATGTAACTGAATACTGCCCTTTCCCAATCTCAGCGAAAGACCAGAAGTTTATTTTCTGGAGATGGGGAGATAGAGAGTCTCTCTTTGAAGGGCAACAACAAGTACACAGTTGACCTTAGAAATACCACACTGAGGGCCAGGCATGGTGATACCTGCCTGCAATTCTAGCACTTTGGGAGGTCAAGGAGGGCTGATTGCTTGCGCTCAGGAGTTAAACAGCCTGGGGAATATGGAAAAATCCTGTCTCTATAAAAAATACAAAAATTAGCCAGGCTGGTGTTGTGTGCCTGTGGTTCCAGATACTCGGGGGGGCTGAGGTGATTTGAGCCTGGGAGGTCGAGGCTGCAGTGAGTTAAGATCACTCCACTGCACTCCAGTTTGGGTGAAGAGTAAGACAGAGAGAGAAGGAGAGAGGAAAAGAAAAGAAAAAAGGAGAGAGAAAGAAGAAAGAAATGGAAGGAAGGAAGGAAGGAAGGAAGGAAGGAAGGAAGGAAGGAAGGAAAACCATACTGAAAAAGTGAAACCATGCTTAGAGTGTTGAGATTTCCTAGCCTCTCCCAGGTTGGCTCTCAGAATGCTGGCAACTAGGCGTATGTTCTCCAGGCAGAAGCTCAGTGTTTCTGGGGAATCTTATAAGCCTGAGAGAAAATTCTAAAAATATTAACATGGTGGTTCCCCAGGGAAATGGCCCAACAAAGCAATCTGCAATGAAGATCACATCTCAAGCCCCACCAGGCACCCAGGACTCTCAGTCAGCTTTCTGTAGCTTACTCTCACACATGAACAGTCACCAAGGAGCACCAGGCATTTGGAGAAAACATCTAATGTTAAAGTCAGGGACTAAAGAAAACAGGAAAAAGTACCTTGACAGAAAAGAAACTGCTTAGAGGAGGAAACTTTTTCTAATAAAGTCACCAATACCCTCAGTAAGATAAGAGGAGATGGTGTATCCATAAAGCAGAAACACAATGCCAGGATAAAAGGAACGCATAGAGAACACCTAAAAAAGCAGCTTTTAAAACTGTAAACCTGAGAGCACAAATTTAAAAATAAACCTCACAGAAGGTTTGCAAGATAACATTAAAAAAACACCCTCAGAAATAGAGCAAAGCAAAGAAATGGAAATAGATTGGGAACACATTGGGAAGACTGACACCCAGTCCAGGAAATTTAACATATAAATGCTGTAATACAAGTCACAGGAAGAGAAAACAAATAGGAAGCAATTATCCAAGAAATAAATCAAGAAAATTTCCCAGAACTTTAAAACATGAATATCTTGACTAAGGACCAAGTGAGTACTTAGTAAAATGAATAAAAACAGACCCACACTAATGCATATTCTCTTAAAAATTCATGACCCCTGGGGCACAGAGGTGATCCTATGAGCATCTAGAATCAGAATAGAATCAGACTTCGCAACAGCCACATTGGAAGATAGAAGACTATGAAACAGTGCCTCAAAATTCTGAAGGAATTATTTCCAAGCTAGAACTCTAGCTATGTTAAACTGCAAATTAAGTATAAGGATAGAATAAAGACATTTTAGGAAAGCATAGTCTCCAAACTTACCCATTCCCAGGCAATTCCCAGGCAACTCCCAAAGGATGTACTCCATGAAAACAAAGGAGTTACCAAGAGAGGAGAAGACCTCAGTTTCAGGAAACAAAGTAAAGGGAGTTCTTAAGATGATGATAAATGGAGATCCCAAGATGACAGCTGTAAAGCAGGTCTAGTGAACAATCAAAGTTGAAGTACTGACTAATTATTAAAACAATCAATGTTTTGCCTTCATTGACCTCTAATTAAAAAGAAAATTATTTTTTGTTATATTCATTAACTACTGATGCATTAAAAACTGTTCCAAAATTAGTCACTTAAAATAACAAGCATGTATTTATTTCTTATGCATCCACCAGTTAGCTGAGTGCTTCTGCCGATCTTGGCAGGACTCACTTAAGCATGACAGGACTCATGCGTTTGTATGCGGCTAACAAGCTGGTCAGTTAGAAGCTGTCTGATCTCGTATGGCTTCATCTGGAATGATTGGGGCCTTTTTCCATCTGACTCTCACATGCCTCCAGCTGGCTGGTCCAGGCCTGGCAGGGTTCCAAGTAAGAGGACATGCTCACAGGTCCTTTTGAGGCCTAGGCTCAGAACGGGTGCTCATCATTCCACCATATTCTATTGACCAAAGCAAGTCACAAGAGTAGCCCAGATTTTAAAAGAAATAAAATAGATTCTATCTTCTAATGGGAGAAGCTGCAAAGTCATATTGCAAAGAGTATGGTTACAAAAAAGCCAACTATCAGGGCCATTAATGCAATCAATCTATGACAGACATGTTGAAAGATTCTTGTGCACAAGGGCACCTCTTGTGTTTATGCTTAAAATACACTCACCATTTGAGCCATGTTGGCAATAGCATTAACTTAGAAAACCATAAACAGCTTTATAAATCCCATGCTTATTGGAAAAGGAAGGAGCACAGTCATGTTTAAATGTGTTTGGGAAATTGCTTGGTATAGTAGAAACAGTATAAGCTTTGGGATCAGACAAACTTTGGGTTTTAATAGTGATTCTACAACTTACTTAACTATGCAACCCTGTTCACACATCTTAAATACTTTGAGTCAGTAAAGAGATAATAAAAACTTCATAGGGTGGCTATGAAGATTAAATGTAATAAGTACATGGCAGTGCCTGGGATATATTAGGTTCTCAAAACTATTAATTCCTACCTGCCATCGCCCACATATGCACAGTAGGTACTTAACTTCTTCCTTCACCATTTCCTCCAATGTTCTGAACTCCAGCTTTTCCAAGTGGGTTACTATTAACTTACAGTGGCTGGAGACAATTTATTTCAGAATCTGAAGCTCCCCATGAAGAAAGCCCTTCAATTTTAGTCGAAAGGTTTTTACTTTCAAAGCAAGGCTAATAAGCAAGGAGTCCAGGAGGCAAGTAGCTGGCATTCATTGATTAAATCTTGGCCATCCAAGTTGTGGCTGCAAGTTAACCAAAGTTGGGCATCCACCCATGGCTTTGATTGTCGTGTCCAGGATGTTGTCTTGCCCCACCCCTACCCAAGATGAGCTCATTTTCCCCTTTCTGGGTAGACCTCTTTACCTCGTCCACATGTCATTGTAGTTCTTACTATGCAATTTCATTAATCTGCCCATGAGTCTGTCTCTTCTATTACATGATGAGCCTCTCAGTAGCAGAATCTGGCTTTGTATATTCTATGCACAACAGAAAACCTATCTCAACAATAGCTTCAAAAGTTACCATCTACTGAGCACTTAATGAAGGTCTAGGTTTACACATCTTTGAGTTTCCCTTACAACCAATGAAGAAGAAATTCTTATCCCATTTTTAACAGGTGAGTCACCTGAGGGTACAGAGAAATTCATTATGGTCCCCCAAACCTGATAAGTAGAAATGATAGAACCAGGAATAGAGCTCAGCTCTGTCCAAAGTCTCTGGCTTAACATGCCTGAATTGTCTATTGGCAGAAGTCTGGTAAACTGAATTTGCTGAAGTTAAGACATCATCTCCAAATGTTGCAAACTAGGTCAGTATTCCAGCGCTCTCTGTGCCTGGTGGAGCCAAAGGAGACTTTCAGAACCACTGATAATGTTTGAGGATGAGTACACTCACCATTTAGGCCACATTAGCAATGGAATTAATTTAGGAAACCATAAACAGCTTCATAGATGCTGTGTTTATTGAAAAGGGAAGAATCAGTACCATGTAAATATGGCTTTTGCTGTGGTGCCCTGGGCAAAGGCTCAGTGGTGAAAAAAGTCTGGCTGGGCATCCTGGCCTCAAGCCCATTTCTTGCCTGTGTTGACACCTGGCCTTGAACACCAGTTGTTTGCCTGTCAGGGCTGCCCATAACCCGCCTCCTCAATCTCGCACATTAGGCTTTCAGACTGCTGATCTCATTATGTGATGACTACTGTTTTCCAGAAGTCTTGTCTAAACCACTTCCTCCTTCCTCTCTCCCTAAAGAGAAATAACAGCAACCTCAGAAAAGGTGGCTAAAGTTTAGCTTTTAAAAAGTAAACACCTTTTAAAATAAGACTCTCAGTTCAAATTCAACCTCAGCCACTTTTGAATGACATTACACAAATTATTGAAGTTCTGTGCCTCAGTTTCCTTATCTGTAAAATGAGAATAATAATCTCTACCAAATGAGATAATATATGTAAAATGATGGAATATAGCAGATGAATATAGGTTTCCTGCCCTCATTTCCGCCATCTTCAAAACTTTTCTTGTGTGAATACACAGTAGGGACCTAGATGGAATATGAACCATGATTTGGGAGGAGTCAGAAGTGTTCTAAGAATTTCTAAATC